ATTAGCTCCGGAGCCCGTCAAAGACAATTGTTCCTCGTAGATGAGACAAGCAAAGCACAGCCTCCGAATAAGCACCAGCAAGATGCATGTTCCTCCTCTTTTGCAGGATTCTTTCCTCCTAGGGAAAAAGGAAAGAAAAGAAAAAAAAAAAAAAAAAAGTCCTACGTATGTTTCGAGCACTGTCGCAGATGACAATCTTCGCATGATCCTAAAGGGACGACTTCACAGCATTGACATATCGGATCTGATGCAAGCAGCCTCTCTCCCCTAAGGCCAGGTAACGAGTTCTATTCTCTACATCCATCGGATGCTGGGTTTCATTCACCATCATTACCTAGCCCAAACCTCCTACAACAGCTGACCCATCTACATACGAAAAAGCCACACAAAGGCACGCACACACACAAACATATCCGTGACGCCACATCCGTCCCCTTCCCAAATCCCTTCCGGATGTTCCTCTTTCGTGCTTGTATCCCGGCCACCTTTTGTAGCAAGAAATCCTGAAACAATCCTCGATCTGTCTTGCCTGCCAACCTATGGATCTCCTACCGAGCCAGCTGGCCAGCCACCTTGGGGTCACACATCGTGCTTTTATCCCCTCCGGTCACTTAGCAGATCGTAAGAAACACGTCCTTTTCATTCTCTACAGCCAATATATCTCGAGCACCGAGAGCAATTCGCCTCTCTGACTCACTGTTTTACTGTCCATAAACGTAACATAACTCTGTTCTACCAACCCTCACAATTAAACAAAAACAGCATACAGCAACCAAACAAAAAAGACGTGGCAAACTGTCCTTGGAAAAAAACTATCCGTCGGAAACGTCATGCCAAGCTATATTCATCCAGTATTCAGCAACACATTCTCCTCCTCCTCAAAAGCTTGAAATCGCCGTATGACACTCCCCCATTACATCCAGTATCATGTTAACAAATTACTGCTACCCTCATTTTGGCAAATAGCATTTCAGCTCTACTGCATGTCAAGAAAGAGGGGGTTTGATAAACAAACAGGAAAAGAAGATTACGATTTATCCACTCCGACCTGCATGCAGGGCAAACCCCAAAAGTACGCTTCACTCCACAAACGCTGCAGGACAAGAAAGACACATCACAAACACGGCATCACACGGAAAGAGGAGATCCAAGGTCTTGTTGGTAGAGAGGAATAACCCTTTGAGCTCGTCAAAGCCATCATATCATTTTGCAGTAAACTAAAACATCCTTCATCTAGATATTCCCAATCTCGCAGATTGCCAAATAAAACAAAAAGAAAAAGGGCATAAAAAGTAGCACTCTGTAAAATCCCTTGCTATCGCAGCCACATTAAATCCCAGATAAAAAAAGGAAAAGAAAAAAAGAGAGAAAAACGTCAAAAAGAAAGAACCAAATCAGTCAAAAAAAGTCGTGTCAAAACAGACAACCTCGCCACCTTGCCGTCGCTTTTTTAACCCCCCCTTCACTGCCACAGTCTGTCACTCTCCCCTCGTCGGCTCGCGACGCGCCCGAAATGGTAACGCTGGGTATCTCGAATGGAAAAATGCCCCGTGTCTCGGTCTGCTCCTCCGCGTGTGCGTTGGGTGGTAGTACAGGTCGCCCTTGGAAAGAAATCTGTCTTTTGAATAACCGAGAAAAGAAAGGGTAAAGAAAAGAAAGCCGTTTGTCGCTCCAAAAGGAAACAGAAAAAGAAAGAAAAGGTCCGTAAGATTGGGTATCCATAGGAAATCCTCGGACGAGAACCAAGAAAAAGGCAGCGGTATTAGTGTACAGTCTTTCGTCTTTCGTGGCCAGTCCATCCGGCGGAATGGGCCATTATTCAACTTCGATGGTCCGGGATCCTGGGGAAGTTGCCAATTTGGATAAGAGTCAAAAGGAAAGATTAAATAGAGATACTGGGAGATGCTGGAGCCGCTCTGGAATGGAAAAAAGCAATCCAAGGCAAATCCGTACGCATCTTCCTCTGGTAAGGCATCGAGATCCCGGAAGATACCTCTGGGACGTCGATTATCCTGGATTGTGGGGGAGCGGGGATGTTCTCACACAGCCAGATGGTAAAAATAGAAAACCGTTGAACAGTTGACAACAACCGTTGGGGCGGCGCTTAGGCAGACGGGTTCTGCAGGATGCCCTCACAGTTGGCATCGAAACGGAGGCTAAAGAGCCGCACGCTCTGCATGAACTTCTCCGTCTTGGCGAGCTCTCGGTCGCGGCCAAAGAGGGTGTCGACAAACTCAACACCCGAGTTCTTGCCCAGCCCCGACTGCTTCTTCTTGGCGGCCTTGAGCATGGGAGCCTCGCAGGCTTTGAGCAGCGACCGCAGCTTGTCGGTAAGGCGCTCGCCGGCCTCGATGAAGTCATTCATGGTCTCGCGGTTCTCGACGCTGCGGACGCGGCCAACCACGTCCTCGGCACGCTTGATCTTGCCGGAGAGCTGAATCAGCAGCAGCCAGAGCTCGCCGGCCATGTCGGCTAAGGGCGAGTTGGCGCCGGCTCGGTAGACGGTCCAGTCGTAGATCCACTTGCCCAGGCTGTTGGCGTCAAAGACGCTGCCGAGGAGGAGGATGGGCTCCTCGGACGGGTCCCAGTTCTTGAGCGAGTAGCCCGTGGGGATCCGGTGCTTGCGGGCATCGGCCTCGGTTGCCTTGGGGGCCGTGGCGGCGGCAGCCTTGGCGCGGTAGGTCTGGGTCGAGGGGCGGACGGTGGAGGGTCTCTGGGGGATGTTGGCCGCGGCAGCCGACGAACGGCGGGTGTGGCCGTGGCTGGTGGGAGGCCGGACATGGGCAGGGGGATGGTCGTAGGCGGCTTCACGGCTGTAGTCGGGATAGTAGGCGGTACCCTGTGGGTAGTCGTCGTGATTAGTGTACCGTATCCCTTCATAGTCATGAACATTCTGCGAGTCCCTGCGACCCCTTGCCCGCGACTCGGCAAGCAGCACATAGGTGCGCCCCGAAGCCTCAAAGATCTCGTCCTCGTCGGATTCTCCAAACGGAGTTCTAGCCCGGACATAGGTGTGAGAGAATCGGCGGTCGTGCCAGGCAGGAGTTTGAGACGACCCGGAGGGCCCGCGCGACGACGACGAAAAATATTTGGGACTCACATCAACCGTGGCATACTGGCCGGAGCTGTTGTAACGCGGCGAATCGACCGGAGCCCGAGGCGTTGACGCGCCGCCCTGGGAGTAGCTGCTGGCCCGGCTGTGAGCCGCGCGCGTTGCCGGGCGTCGAGGCGTTGTCTCGAGCCAGCTTGGCCGCGGTGATGGGGTTGGAGTGGCGGACGACATTCGTGTATATTCCCACTCGTGGATCGGAGTCGATCCAGGTGTTCGTGGTGATGGGTAGTTCATTCTGTAACGGTTCCTCTCTTCTTGCAAGATCCCACTATGACACGACACTTCGCTCCGCAGCCTCTCCTCCGGTAGTTCGAGGGGACCTGGCGACGTATCGTTTGGATGGGGTGATGCTTCCGGCGAGGCTTGAAAGCGGACAAGTATCCGAGATTCTCTCTCTCTCTCTCTCCTCTCTGCTGCGTAAAACTTTTTTTTTTGTTGATCTCGTCCTTTTTGTCTGCTCTTTCTCTGTCGCTCTCAAGAGGGAAGAAGAGGGGAAGGGGGATGATGGATGGATGTTGGTGGTGGTATCAAGAAGGGCGGATGATGTGATATGATGATGAGGAGTTGGAGAGTGCAATAAGAAACAACAGCCCGTTCACCTTGGTATGTAATCGGAAGAGTAAAAATTGGAAGAGGTATTACGTCTTGCGTCAAACATGACCAATCTACAACGGAGTCGTTTTTATCCTAGTCTCTCCTCTCTCGTTGTGATGATGTGAGGAAAGGCGAGCCAGAGTTCCGACGTTGCGGCCTGGCTGTGGCGAGCTGTGCGTGAATGGAGAGCGTGACACGCGGGTCGACGGTGAGGTGATTGTGATGCTGATGCTGATGCCGATGGCGTTGGTCGCGATGATGCAGATGCAATCCTGAGGACGCAGTGTGGAGATGTGCTTCATTGGCAGAAGCGTGAAGGCCAGAGAGAGAAAAAAGAGGCCAGAAGGTCGGGTGTGCGGGCATGCATTCGAGGTATATATTGTGGCCGCAGCAAATTCTTTGCGTGGTGGGCGTTGAGCAAGGCCAGGGAGCCTGTTAGTGGCCTCAGTGAGCGCCGAGGGCAGCCACAGGCATGCGACAGGGGGGCAGGGGGGGCCTGAGCGTGCTGGGCTCCAGCGGAGGTGGAGGGGGCGTGGCGCTAGCGACAGGGCCTGGGTGGTCTGTGCTGGCGGCCCTAGCGCGGGTGGAGCGTGGCTGGCTTAGTCACTGCGGGCTGGCTGCTGGTGGAACCTTCCCGCGGCGGCCACACAGTGCTGGAAGCGTCGCCGACACTGGCGCCGTGTTGCTGACTGAAATGGGGGAAGACAAGGGAAGAAGAAGGAAAACAGGTGACAAAAAGGTCGGAAAAGAAGACTGGAAGAAACCTAAGAAAAAAAGTCTGGTGGTTTCGCCCAACGTCGGCTGTGACTGGCTGGCTGCGTTCGGTGGGCAAAAGGAACAGCGAGCGGCGAGCAGGCGCTGCAGCCTGGCTTCTCCTTCGTCAGGTTCCGGTCAGGTTTCCGTCAGGATTGGCGGCGACTGGACTGTTGCTTTCCAACAGCTTCCGCGCACAGGAGGCAGCCCGACTGCGGTTCCTGGCCGTGATTCGACGTCTTGCTTTTGCTCGCTGCGTATTACGGAGTCAAACGGGGGGCGATTTACAGCCGGCTTGCGCAGCTGAACGGGCTCTAGGGGCGCTCAGAAACCCCGGGGTAGACCCGTCTTGACCGGCTCTCGTACGAAGCACAAGGTTGTAGTAGTATGACTCTTGCACTGGCAGTCGACGACCAACCACCGAGCCAGCCTTTCGGTCTTCTCAGCAACGCCGCTCGTATCGCTCTCACACTCGTCCAGGGAAGCACGAGCTCTTGCTCCGGTGGCGTGTCGTGAATGAAAGAAAAGGCTCCGGGTTTGGCAGCCTGTGCGTCCTTCCGCTGGCCAGGGTTCGGGCGAAGGCTGCCCTAGTCGGGTGTGTTTCGCTGCTCGTGCTCGCGGCACTGCAAGAACACTGCACTGCAAGTGTGTGCTTTGTATCGCAAATCACTTCGAACCGTGGACGCTCTGATGCAACTCGACGAAAAAGAAGCTGGATTTTTCCCCCAGTCCAATTTGCCGGGACGGGATAAGCGAAATGATGAAGTCTAGGGGTATGAATCCTAGTCTCCGGCCGCGGCCCCCGGGAGCCCACACAGCTGTCTTGTCCTTGTACTTTCTCGGTGAGAAAAGGCGAGAGGACGACTTTTGTGAAAAAGAATCTCCTTTTTTCTTTTCTTGGACCTTTTTTCGATGGCTGTTTTACCTCCCTGCCGCTTCCTCGCCGGATGGGCAGGTGTCAAACGCCGAGTCCGTCTATGCCTTGAAATTGGATGCAAGGCAATCTCGAATCCCTGCCCGGATTAGAGACCTGCCTCTGCCTGTGCGCGCACGGAACAATGCGAACTCACTGTGTTTTGCCTTTCCACTTGACCGGCAAGTGCTCGTACCGAGTACTGTCTTCCGTGAATGGGAAGTATCTGGCAGCCTTTTCGATAGTTTTCGTATGAAGGCGTCCAAAGGAGACAAAAGACCGTGGCGTTGCGAGTAATGCTAGTGCGGCCGGGCTATATCGCGAACGCTTCCGTGAAGATATACGGTACCGTCCCTGTCCCCGGAGGCGGCGATATTGATTACATGTACTTGTGTTGCGCACGCTCTTCTTGGCTCAGCGAGAAACAAGAAACGCGGCTCGACTTGTTGGGGACGACGGCGACTGATATTTGCGCCGCGGGCCAGTCGCAAGCATGAGATTGAAGTGATGAACGACGGGCGACGCGTATTCGGACACGAGCAATGCGCATCACCTCGGGCGGCTTACTCCAAGCAGTAATAATGATGATGGTCCAGGGCGGGCGGCTTCAGCTCTTGGTTTCTCCCCTTTGCCGGCCTTGTCGACGATCATCTACTTTTGCGCTTTCGGAACCAGAGACAGGAAATCCGGCGGTTTTGGAGCGAAGAGGACATGGAGGTAGCAGCGTTATTTATCATCAGTGTCATCCATCGCCAACCCGATCCGGACCCGAAAGGCCCCCAATATTACGTAGGACGGTCTCTATCTTTGCAAGGCACAGGTATGCGCGTCTTTTCTTCAATGTGATGTAACGGATGTGTGGAGGAGTGGTGGGAAGCGCCCAGAGAGACGCAATCACCAGCAGCCTGCCTGGCACAACGCAATAACGGCACAAAGCCGGCCGGTCATGTTCATGTTTCCTGTGTGCTGGCAAGCGCCCATCTGGGGATCGCACATCAGCCCTGTGACCACCGGGGCGAGCGGCGCTGGCGATGGCACTCTGTAGCATTGCAGTTCCACGACCATCGGTGGTTGGGTGGTGGTAGGTCGCTACCTATTTCTCTCACCACCGAAAGGAGGCGCAGAACATGAAGTTGCTCTTCTTCCCGTTCGTCACATGGGCGTCGCATCGAAACGATTGACTCGAGGAGGCGCCACACCAGCGCTGGAACCGTCGCGCAGTCCAACGGCCCAAGCTTCGCTGATTGGGCCGCCCTCTTTCTGGATGCCGTGTGACGGGCACTATCGATAGATTGTCCGTATACTGGCTGCGTGATACTACTACTTACCCATTGATATCGACGTGCTGAATCGCTCAGAGGGAAGCGGAAGCGCACTTGTTCGTAGCACTCCGTACGGCCTTTGCGACTCTTGTAGTCCGCTCCACCGTCACAACCGTCGCTTCTGGCGTTGCAGTGCGTCGTGGTGGTGGTGCGGCGCTGGTGATGGGAGGTGCTGAGAAGCGCCGAGCCCGGGGCGCGGTTAAACCGCAGTCATCACTTACACGGAGCGTGAGCGACGTGAACGGGTTGCGTGAAGAAGAATCCTGCTGAGCAAGACGTTCGTGGGAATTAAATTAGTCTGCGTGAATGCATGGACTGTATGACTGCTACTACCTAGTATCACTGCTACTAGTACTGCGACTTCGTACATGATGGATGCAGGCTGGTCCAGTATTTGTTTCATGGGAATATCTGCGAGGCACGTTTTTTCTGGATCCTGTCATGCTATAGTTTCATGCAGATAAAAAGCCCGTATGTCCATCGAGAGGGTGGTGCGCAGATGACATGTATCCTCCTGATGGCATCCTGCATGTAATGCATGACACTGCTCTTTAAGGCAATATTGAGATCCTGTACAGTATCAAGCACCGCTCTGGAATACCGACCAAGACGAGCAACTGCCTGTCGCACACAACATGGAGCAGCAGCACGGTCCTACAGTCGGCTGCCACTCTATTCGCTTGCATCAAATGGCATGGCCGAGGCCTGTCCGAACGCCAAAAGCACGGTCAAGTGCCGCCTGTCGTCTTTGTTCGGCACGTACAAGGCCGAAACGTGCTGGCCGCCAAGGGCCCTATTCTGTCCTTGTTGCAGGTTTGGCGAATGGGGTGATTTCCGGTCATCGCTGGGGGAGGCAAGGCCAGGTCATGAGGACAGATTCCAGTCTGGATGTTCCAGACCAGGCTGGAAGAAAAAGAACAAGAGGCGAAGCTGTGATCGTCGCCTGGCCGGCGCTTCCATCTGTCGTACCCTTGCCTTGCCACATCGGAGTGGCCTGGTTGCCTGGCTATCAGTATGTAGTATAATCAAACAATGGCCATGCAATGTTACGGGCCATAGCTCGTACGAAAGACTCGCTATTACATGCTACTCGAGCGCATTCGTATTGTGCATCCCATCAGATCCATTCGACTTGGGGGGAGCCCTGGCCTGCAAAGTTGGCCTCGACAAGGGCTCCGGCTCTCTCGCGAATCTCTCGTCTCTCTCTCGCTTCCCCTCACATCGCCAGCCTCAATTTCTCTTCTTCTTCTTTCTCTTCTCCGTCTGGGCCCAAGCGCCGAAACCCCGTTGAACCACCGTCGTCATCCGCTGCACACCGAAGTGCAACACAAAGGTTGCATGGTAGAACTCTTTGACTCTGTAAAGTTCGAGTAGTCTGACAGGGGTCCCGTCTGCCGTCCCTCCAAGAAAGATAGAAAGGCGTGGTTTTTTCCGCCACACGGCGCCAAACCACGAGAGCCGGACCTACCAGAGGGCGCCGTTTCTGTGATGGACTGCAAGCCCCGTCACCTCGAAAGGATCAATGGGGGGGGCTGCGGCAAGGGGGGGAACACGGCTGCCCTTGCGTCGAGATTTTGCCTGAGAAGCCACACCGCAGCAATTGACTTTTGAGGTCTGCGTTAGTCTTCTTTTCTCTGTCTCTCCATGATGGTGCACGCCCTTGTCAACTGCACTGATATTTGACTGGGCGCAGGAGGGATGTCCGGGCGAGCAAACAACTCTTCTACACTTATTATGATCCTGCTCTCCTTTGCTCGCTTGAGCACCATCAGCGTCAGTAGGAAGGACGAAAGGGTGAAATGAGATGGCCAAGACACGGGCGTCCAAACCCTGGACACAGTAGAAATGGGTCATGAGACGAACACCCAGCTGTTTGCGCCGGCCGGGGGGCATCAGAGACAAAGAGCGGGAGAGTTCGGCGCCTCAACCCTGAGCCCACTCGCCCGGCCTGCGAGTTGTCTTACTTTTTCTTTGCATACTTGTACGTATTCAATTTCTCGCTTCCTGTACGAATGCACATACACACCTACTTTTCGTGGTGGATGGACGGATGCTCTGTGCCTATAGTAGTATTATCAAATATATATCAAATCCTCTCCCAACGACTCAGCCGATGGCCTAATGCACCGGCTGCAGAGTGCCTGGCACCCGCGGCAGGGTTTCCGGGTGCTAGCGGGCAAGGCACCGGCGCCGATGGCAGTTGACTTTCTGCTAGAGCCGCGGAGAGAGACATGATCCCTGGCGTGCCTGAATGGATGGAGGCTGTTTGTCGTTGGTCGTTTGCTTCAGTCGGTTTGTACTGTGCTGTGCTGTAATAATATCAGCGTGCTTTTCAAGTTGCTGATCCACAAACACACGATCTCGTACAGAACAGGTACCTGATTACGTACACGCTCGTACTCGTACCGAACTCCAGCTTCCGTCCCATCTCCAACCTCCCCTCCATCATTCTCATCATCATCATCATACTACAAGCCACCACAAACCATCCCAGCTAGCAACATCAATCGCTCGTCGTCCGAAAAACAGGTGGACCTCGTCATTAAACCCTTGTCCATCAGCCATCTCCAGTCTTTGTCCCCTTCCCACCGCACCGCACCGGGTGGGACCTCCGGACCTCGTCCCACCACGACGACGGGAGCTCGCAGCTCCAGAAGCACCCACGCCGCAGCGAGCCGCTCCCGCGCATTCCCAGCCAGCGCCAGGCACGGCACACTGTGTGTCATTATGGGACAACAACTCGAAGACTGCAAGCCATCTTCATCATCCACAGATACCTACCTACCTTACCCAGTCAAGACCAGTACACTGTACAGTTACGGATTGCACAAACGCACCCATCGTCCAAGGTAGGCGCTTGTACTACCGACTACCTACAAAGGCATGTTGACGCAACTTGATTCATGCTTCCATCCCATATCCCAGGTATGGTCCCCTCTCTCGTGTGTCGTGTCGTGTGTTGCGCGAGCCCGGCTTGGCTTGTACCTGCGTCGCCCCGGCTTCTCTTGTCCGCTCGCTTTCCCTCGACCTGCATCGAGGAAATGCTGCGAGACGGAGCGCCCTATCGGCATCGTCGACGGACCTTTTTCTGAGCCCCCTCTTGCATCGGCTCAACTAGTTGTATGAAGAATGTAGTAGTACAGACTACCCCAAATCCTACGGCTGCTACGAGTATCACCACCAACTACGTGAACTTGTGATGTTCGATTCTTGAGCTGCTTCCGCCGTCGCAAAATCTGCACGACGATAGCAGGCACGAGACCCAGAGCCTCCTTCACCGACAGTGCTCCCTCTGCTCTCTTCTTGTCACCATCGACCTCCTCCGGAACGTCTCCGCACGGTCGCCGCAGCCTTGCCTCGTCCGGGCCCTAGCTGATTTCTAGAAGAACGATGGCCTGCCTGCACACCTTGGAGAGCGTCCCGGTGTGATGTGATGCTGGTCTCGCAGGCCCACCCCCTTCCCTGGCCCTGCGCTGCCTTCCCCGAAGCATCCATCCAACCATGATCCATGCTCCCTTGGATCCCTGCCGCCGGAGGGTGTGGCCCAAAGAGGCTGCCTGGAGGCCACTAGGGCTTGGCCTTTGCCCGTCCCTTGTTTGACAAGTGAAAAATTTTCAACACTTCATTTCGTGGGCCGTCCCTCAATCAAACACGAAGCAATCCTGGTGTCTTTGCTGGGCGATGGATGCCTCCTTGCAACCTTTTACTTGTTTTCGTCAGCTCGTCTGGATCACTTGGTTCTCTTGTTCTCTTGCTGGTCAACCTCACCCTCCCATCAACCCAGCAGGGCGGGATGTGACTCACAGCAAAGCCCCGTCCTTTCGTATGTATTATCTCCCAATCGCTGGGCGCCAGAGCTGTATTGCTGTCCAAAGCTGGTGGCCGGTCGTCGAATCGGGCGTTGAGATGCCGCGGTTTTGGGCGCCGATTGGCAGCCGGCTTCTCACCCCCAGTTTCACGCAAACGCCACACCAAAAAGACGCCCATGCCAGTGCGAGAAGAAAAAGACGAAAGACCAGCCAGGGAGCACCAAGACCAACAAGGGAGCAGAGGCCCCGCCGCGTCTGGACGCAGGGATCTGACCCGTTAGCCTGGCTTTGTCCATGGTTTTTCTCACGACACCCCTCGAGCTGCTAAAGAGCTGGCCTCAACTAAAGGTAAATGGGTAATAAGCGAAAATCGCCAGCTCGAGGCTAGCAATTGCACCCACACCCGTCTGTTCCCACTAATCGAGTCTGTTGGCGAACATCAAAAGACATCACAGACACTTTTGAGCGGAGAAATAAGTGCCAGGCCCGGGGATGCGGACTCCTCCCCAGGTCGTGACAGCCCTTGCTTCTCGTCTTCTTGACCGACTCTTTCTCTGTCATGCAAGACGTACATGACGAGCATCTCTGAGAGTGAGGGGGGGATAAGAAAATTTTCGTCGACCGGCCCGCGCACCATGACGAGAATCCCCGGCGCATCTCAGTGGTCCGGTTGAGTCGCGACGACAAAACAGGGCAAAGGCCATCTGCGACTACGGAGTACGGATGGCTAAGAGTGGGAAAGCAAAAGGTCGTCGACGATGCTGATACGTGAGGAAGACGGGGGATGCATTGGGGACGATGCACAATGATGGAACCCAGATCTCTGCGCAACGTGTGTCCTCTCTGGCTTGCGACCATGTCTACATGTCTGCAGTGAGGGACATGGCCCCTTACTCTTTTCTCTGATGGAAAGACAAAGACAGGCCAAAAAAAACATCCGAGGTCAAACCCCCTGGTCTTGCTTATCTGGACCGCTCAGATGTCATCCATCGATATCCATTAATAGGTACATTGGCGTTGGGGGTCTTGATGGCGGAGTTTGATAGCAAATGCTACCGGGAGGGTCCAAGAGTCCCATGCAAAACACATCAGTCTGGTGCTACATAATTCGCGATGCTTAGGTCATCCGAGATGCGCAGGGAGTGTGACGCAGACGGGACTTACAAATGGTGAGCTTGCCGAGGAGATTCCATCTCACGGCGGCAAGATGTCCATGGCCGGTACTCCGTACAATGCCGCCAACTCAGACCGGCCAGCGTCTACTCTCTGAACAATCGAGCCCTGACATATCATATCGGTGATATCACATCGATAGGCGTACGACGGGTGATACGGTCGCGGCGCTCTGCAGGCTGCCTGCCACAAGAGCCCAGGGCGATGCCCAAGCCCAACGCAGCAGCGAGCCGTCGTGGCCGATCAAACAGCTGGAGCCTCAAGAGGAGTGCACCAGTTGGCCCCCTTGGGGTCTGCGGCGGGAGGCGAGAGAGGCTCTCTCGTGTGTGGCACCCCTTTTTGTATACCCATTCGTTCATGCAAACGGAAGCAAATGGAGATGAAGATCGCGATGCAGACCTGCATCAACCCTAAAATCGCGACGCACGTGTCACGTCTCGCCGTTGGATACATGGCATCTCTCTACTTGTAGGTAGTATGCAGTAAGCGTGAGCGGGAGAGACAGCGAGAGAGAGAGGGTACGAGAGCCCTATCATCTCAGACCTGCTCGCTGGTCCGCTGCACTGCCGTACAGGAAGCCGTGTTTTTGTGGCTGTTTGCATGCACGATGTGCCGATGGGGTCCATTTCTGGCCTGGAATACTGCTGCCGCCAGTGCTATCATCACGTCCCCCATCAGCTCTCATTGTAAACGCCCCCCTCTTCTAATTCAGGCCACTGCAGATTCATGCCTTATGATGCGGCAGCAACAACCACCACCAGCTAGTAATGCCAAAGGGCTGGCAGCGAGAGGCGTGACTGTGGCATTTGGATACGCCTTTGTCTATCCGAAGAAAGAGGAAACCCCATTTTCTCAGGTGTTGCAACTACCGGGCTCTGGCGCGAGAACTAGGACATGGCCCATGGAGGGTGTTGTTGCACGAACGACTCCAGCTGTGACTGCTGCTGCTGCTACTGTGACTTGTACGCCCATTTCTATAATTAGGAGAAGTGGTGAACGACGACCAGGCGTAAAGGATCAATGGATTTTGTCTTCTTGAGCTGCCGTCCCATTGCACTGCCTTGAGTCTATTCCACACACACCGCACAATACCCGACACGCTAGCGCTTTTGCAACGATGCTGAAGATATTTGTGAGGTTTGGGAAGACCGATTCCTTCGAAAAATAAAAATCTGGCAACCCCCCACTGTTGATCCCATTCATGCAGCAACAAAGTAATGGAATCCACCCGGATCTGCCAAAGATTCTGTCATTCATGCTTGTTCCGCTAATTAATCCATGCCCCTTCAATTGTGTTCTTCTACTACTGTACATACAGTACGGAGTACTCGTAGAGGGGTCTGGGTTCGATTTTTGTCATTCAAGAAAGAAGTGGGCGCATTGACGACATGGTGTGCTGTAAATAGCCAGAGGGGATCTGCTCATGCTAATGCAAGTTTGCAAAAGAAAACGGGGGTTCTGCTGAAGTAGGATGATATCGTCATGCAGAAAAAAAAAAGAGCGGCAGTCTTTTACGGAGGCGGTGACGGCAGCGTACATTTTCTGACGGATCACGTTTGCAGAAAGATTTTTTTTTTTTTTCTTTAACTGGGATTTTTCTTTTGTTAGTGGCGTGTTTCTTTCCATATCGTGGACGAAGCGAGAGGTGATTTATCAGGTAAGGTATGTATGTAGTACATACTGCGGGCTTCTGAATTATTGGAAACTTTGTCTAAGACGCTCCGGGGAGAGAAATCCAAACTCCCTCGCTTGGCGATATGTTGAATGCCAGAGACAACGCACAAAAAAACAAAACAAACGGAGATTTTTCACATCACCCATGACGTACAAATGAGTTTTTCTCTGTCCTGTATTTTTCTCTTTTGACTTTGATAGAGAACTTTGTTTCCCCTTGACTGGAGTAGAAAGCTTGCTGTATTGTCCCGCAAAAGCTTCCACAGTATTTGCGCAAATCTGCTACTGCTGCTAGCTAACTAATACAGTACTACGAAGGTTTTTGTTCCTGGATCGCGTGCCCTCCTTACGGGAGCCAGCGGGACGGGCGTATGAGAGGCTTGCGGGAAAATAAAACAACACATCTTGGAGGGAAGAAAAAGATGGGATGGCGCTTTTTTCTTTTCGTCGCCCTTTTCCTGTTCCAGCCACGTGGAGATGGGCCGAGATGGGAGAGTGGGCACGCATTACAGATGTGGCTGTGCATTTTGCTTACGACTTTTGATTCCAACACATCTTGAGATGGGGGAATTCGTCGTGGTGGCACAGTATGAAGCTACACGTGACTCAGCCGAGCGGCCGGGAACCACCCGCCACACCCACAACTCGCCGAGTGACGCCACACGCTAGAACTGGACGCGGCGGCAGAGCTTGGATGGGGCCGGGGAAAACGTGGCGGGCGGGTGTTTACGTCATGGCCCGGGGCCCTTTCTTTTTTTTTTTTTTTTCTTTCTTTTTTTTCCCCCTTCCCCTGTGATTGATGAGTTTGAGCAACGCTGTCAGTTCTCTGCCTTTTGCAGGCGGTGCTTTGAGTTGATTCATTGGGTGCCCAACAAAACGAAAAAGGAGACAGCCCTCTTGTCGATCTGCAAGCTCTTTATGTTTGTTTGCCTGACCTGATTCGGGAGCTGCAGCTCGTTTCCTACTTTTTGCTCTGGGGGTGTGTGTGCTCGAAAAGGCGGGTGATGGGCAGGATAGCTGGCGCCGGCATGACGCAATGGACGGTGATGCATCAGGCACAAGACGGGGGTGATCCCTTTTTCTTTCACGACACGTCCTCGTCCAGCGAAAATCGTGATGCATGCAGATACATTCTACTGTACTGATTCTTGTGGATGTGACGCGGATAGCCGGGACCAAAGCACGTCTGACAGACAACCCGCAAAAGTGTTCCAGGTCTTCGAGATCATCGTCAAGTGCGATGGCTGGAAGGGGGTGGCTGGAAGGCAAAAGAGAAAAGCAAAGAAAGGGTCTTCGGGTGGAATGACTCACAAAGACGCGGAACTTACTGCACACCTTGCCTATTGCTTTGCTATGCTGGTAGTACTATTTGCCATCTTATAGTATATCAAATGTAAAACAGCACAATTGGTGATGGGGAATTTTTGTGAGGCAAACTGTCGTCACGCCCTCCTCCTCCTCCTCCTCCCCGACCACCCTGGTTTTTCGTTTCTATCAACTGGATGGGAAGAACTCGGTTTGTGTCTTGGATGAGGGGGGGCTGGGGGGGCTGGAGGCTGGGGGGTTGGTCTGGAAAAAAGGCAGGCAAAAAGGGGGGACGCGCGTGTAAGATGCCTCGCCAGCTGCGCGAACGAAAGGCGTATAGAAAACGGATTCGCGTCGTGAGGCGACGTTATAAGGCGTGAATATCAAGTCGGTTCTGATGGATGGATATAAAAGTTCGCGGATGGAAGGCTAAAAAAGCAGGCAGCAGCCAGAAACGCGGCACTTGAGACGAGGAAAAGTTCTCCCGTGGCGAAGGATTGGATGCCTTTTCAGCGAATGAGCGTTCGCGCATTGTGGCATCTGAATGGGAATCCTTTCTTTTGCGCGCCTCGTCGCCATTCGTGTGCCTTTTTTGTCGCCTCTGGAGAATATTCTGGATGCGAACTCGCGCGTCGACGTGTTCACGTGCCACGCTTCTGATTCTCGCTCTCTTCCTAATGTAAGGAACGCGCGCATGTGAAAGGCACGACTCCGCGTGAAGAAGATGGCGCGCGGCCCGGATTTGCTGCACATCGGGGGCGATTCACGATGGTGATATGCGGGTTTTGACTCGTTGATCAAGTGTGCAAGTGACGGCAACGATTGGTTAGCAAGTGCTCCGCGTAAGACGTCTGCCTTCTTCCTTTTCCTGTTTTGCTTTCCCAGCTTCTGCCTATCGTTCATGCATGCAGGGGAGAGCTTCATCCTCCTGCTCGTGACAGCGGAGGAGGAAGAGGGGGGGGGTATGATTAATGGGCCGGTGGCGATGTCTTCGTTCTTACCGCGGTGAGAAGATCACGGCGTAAGTTGAGGTGGATGGATAGGGGTACTATCTCGCACTGGGTTGATGTTAAGGCGTTTGTATGGCATCTCATTGGTGAGTATCATTGACGCCATGATGCTGGTTGACGGGATGTCATAGAAATTGTCACGGAAGGAACGACGTTTTGCCTCAGGCTTTGTGTTGGGTTGCGATTCGAATCTGCCTTGGGCGTGAAGAGGCAAAGCGAAGGGGCCGTCTGGCAGCTATTGGAGTCATCGAGTCACTTGATGGAACTTGATGCCCATCATGTTTGCTTGGAGCATGTGAGAGTTGGTTGAGTCATCTTGGTCTGCCTTTGGGACTCTCAAGCCCATCTATTGGTCTTGGTGATGTGACGAGGACTTCGGAGCTTGTTTCTTCAACTTGACTGGGGTTCCGATACTTGCATCACCGCTATCGATCATCCATCTAGCAGCAATGCTCTATTCGTGTAAGTCAAACCGTCTACCCCTGAGATGTGCAACAATGGCCAAGCTCCGTCAAGGTTCATCAACCGCAGCACATGATGCTCAGCGAAGCAGATCCACTGCTTTATGCTGATGACAAGAAGTATCTCGGAAGATTGGAGTTGTAGGGCTCCAGTCCAATCCGCCCATGTAGCCCCGGGCCACATCCCTCCATCATCACCATCATCATCCTTTTTCTCGTCCAGAGCACAACGCAAAGCCCAGATTCCAAGCACACCTCGTCCCTAGACAAAGCTACCGTACCCGTAGCGTGTACTGCTATCTCACTCCCAAACTCGAATGAGTCACGGAATGAGTGATGATCAAGCTCTCTTTGTCGACCAGCTCGGCTTTCACACCGGTTGGCAGAAGAACAATCTCATAGGCGGCTTACGGGTAATTGAACATGCTACATCGCAATCCTGATTTGTTCCCTCTTATGCTGACTCCTACAACGGCTCATTTTATCGTAGTATCATGTGAGAATGGATAGACTTGTCGTGACCACGACTGCCTGTAACCCTTCCGAAACTATCTATACCCAACCACAGAAGGAACAGTATCAGAACAATAACCGGATCATATTCTCAAGGCTTGGACGTTGGGTAGTAGTATAGACCCCTAACCTCGTTTTGGGGGAATGTCGCGACACATTTATTCCTGGATAGGCCAGGTTTTGGATATTATACAGAAAGTGAGTAGGTGCGAAAGCAGAATAATCCCCCGAATAGAAGAACCATATGCTCAATCGTCTTTCCGCCATGTCTCTCTCCTATGAGCCAGACCGTTGGAGTATCTGGCTAGACCCAAACAATATACTTCGCTGCCATCCCCCTCACCTATTTGGCTAACATATGGCATCATTTTTGCGCAAGTAGTCTCCTTTTCGTTTCTTCTCGTTGATAATCGTCATGCCAGGACCCTGCACTTGTTCACGTAAATACGCCAAGTCCACATCATTTTGCCCAAAAGTAGATCATGAGTCTTCATATACCACTGTTTATAGTATATAGATCCTGAGCATTTCCTGGAAATTGCGACTCAACTTCGCATCATAGGCGTATTGTCGTACACACGATGCAACAATTCCTTTCTCTCTTCAAGGATGGACAAGCTTTGCGCTATATCGTGAACACATCCTAACCACCAAGTACATGCCTACACATGAACTTGAACTAACCGACCACAAGAACCATCATTCATGCTAGCAATGATCAATGAACGTCTCACTTGATTCCATTACCGAATCAGCCTAACTCAGCTTGTACCCCAATCCAGACATGGAAGAGCACATCCATCCTATCAAGTCTGGTACGTTTTCATCTCTCAAGATTATCCTCTCCTCACGACATCCCAGTCCCATATCCTGGTATTACCCTTTCGTCAATTTACTATTACACTGATATAAGTTACTCTTATTCGACAACCATTACCTTCAATCACACAGACATAAGTCAAATTTCCACAACCCTCCTCCCCATAACCTACACAATCTCCTTCAGATCCCCACTTCAACCTCTTGACAGCGGCTGAGCAAAAAGCAAACAAGCCCCAACCTGATCTCTCACTGGGCCTTACTGCGTCGGGATAATGTAGACTTGTCTTAGAGCCAGGCGGTAAATCTCTACAAGCACTTGCCTCTGACAAGTACCTTGGATCCTCACCTTGCGGAACGCATCCAGGAATCTCGGATTTCCGACTCTTTCTCCGCCGATATACCACGTATGGTGTGAAACACAAGATTCACCCTAGATGTCGGCTTTTTTTTTTCTTTTTCTTTTTCTTTTTTTTACCTCGGTAGGCCGCTACTACTTGTAGCTGCTACGTATCTTCGGGCGTGCGCTGGAACTTGCTCTTGAGAAGTAGGTAGAGGTTGACGAACTGCTGTGTCTAGGTAGCCAAGTTTAGCTCTACGTACATGGAGACCGCATCGTCAACAAGAACAGCCATGTGGTAAGTATGCAATTCGGGCGTGAATATTGCATGCACACCGGAAACTACCTAGTTACACTTGCTCGCTATTAGACCTATGTCAGGAATAAGGCTTTATTCTCGACAATGCAGCAACCTCCCACGTCATATGCAGCCACAGTTGCCAGTGAACAATCCCACCGTGCGCCAGATCAACCATCATTTACCATATGCATCCCAAGATATTCCTATAAAAAGCATCTCTGTGTATCAAGGGGCTGTACAATGATCCTTAGGAGGATAACGCTCCCCTTTCTATCCAGTGATGTCCGCGAGGAAGACACATTATCGAATAATGTTCCATCTCAGACACTGCTAATTAAAGTGAGCAAATTATGTAGCCTGGACTCTATATCATTCATCATCATATATATACAAAAAAGCCTCGTTGAGCGGAAAGGGACAGGCAATCAAGCAGCATCCAAGGGCTTGTGGCCGTATATGGTGTGAAAAGGAAAGTATGAGTGGAACTTGGGTATACCATTGTGCTCTGCAATGATAGACTTGCGGACCTCAACGAGGAACATTTCGATCTGGATCGTGGTCCATCCCAATCCGTGATGAAGTGGCCGCCTGGCTAGCCCAACAAGCCCCCACATGATGACATCTCGTAGAATGTGGCCGCACTCCTGGAGACGCCTCAGCTTTGGCCACGGGCCATTCGGGCACTTGAGGTCTATCTGGTGGATGCCCTGGAAACCAGCAGCAGCGAGCTCGTCTTTAACGTTGAGGATCCCGTGGAGATTCGAGCCGAGGGCGGCAAGGCCGTCCCCCAGGTATCGTAAGAAATCACGCCAGGCATATGGCTGGTTGCATGAATCGTCGTCACAGGCAGCAACATAGTGGAATTCCTGGATCTCGACAAAGCCACCGGGCTTCAAGTGCCTGAAAGTGAGACAACTCTTGTTAGTTAGGTGCATAGGTAGTTCGAGTGCTGAAGATACGGGCAGACTTGCTTGTAAATCCGACTCCACAGCTCAGCCCGATTCTTTATGGAGTGGCAGGTGTGGCGGATGTGGATAAAATCAAAAGAGTTTTCGGGATACGTCCACCCCGCTTCATGTTCGATATCGTCGACAACGAACAACACGTTCTCTGGGACCCAATCGGGCTGGATGGGTGATAAATCCATGCCATGAAATGTTGTCTTGGGATACATGTCGGCCACTAGAAGACGGCGTCAGACGATGAATTGCACGCGGGGAAAACGCATAAGACAGAGAACAGTAGGAGGATGATCTCGTCCTTTTCTCATGAAGTGTGCAAGTCTGACAAACTCAGCCGATAACAAGTTGAACCATCATTGGTAACTCACTTTCAATAGGCCATTTCCCTGTTCCAGTACCTGTTTTCCTAACGTTAGTACAGGAATGGGTGCGTCGAAGCCACGTTTGGAAATGAAAGGAGGTTGAGGGTGGATATTTCGGGAAACTGCTCCTGAGGCTCACCTAAATCGAGGACTTCGGCACCAGGCTGTTGCAGCCGCTCATGAACGGGAGCATAAAAGTATACACCCTCGCAAAGGTGAATGGTCAAATGATGCTTCAGGTCGTCACGGTACTGTTCTGTCTCGTCGTTGGGGAAGGCGTATTGCCCGGCATGATACGCATGGTACCGTAGGCCTCCGTCGATGATGTGCTGGCGAATGCTCTCGGTGAGACTCCGCGTATCGTCGTAGCTGTCCTCATCCTGAACATATTCGCCTTGCTCCAGATGTCTGATACGGAGAGCCTCTTGAGATGTACCTACGGTGATGGCTGAACTGGTAGAGGTGGGCGATGGAGGGCGGCCGAGGCGGGTTGGGATTGGCTCGCTGCTTGCATCGTCATCGGTCATTGTGTCTTTGTTGGAAAGGGAGGCGGAAGGCGGGGTGAAGTCGTATGCAGTAGGTAAATTCATATAGACGTGGGGCTGTATGCGAGAGTATGCGAGAATCGAGTGTGCAAGTAGAAGGACACACTAAAGATTCTGATGGCTGATTGTATGTATATCGAGGAGATGGGTAAGAATGAGATTCAAAAAATTGCCTTTGAACGACTGAAGATGGGTAGCCGGCCGTATCTGTGAGACAAACTCTGCAGGTGGCGGTTGGCGGTGCCGTGATCGAAATCGAAACCAAGATCGGCCTGGAGCCTCAAGTACGATGTTGACCGGCGGCAGGCTAGGATAATTTCAACACTGGATCGGGCTGTAGATAGATGAGAAGCAGCCGTAGGTGGACAATTACTGCATCATCCAGCCTCCCGGGGGGGCAACGCCGACTAAAGTACCTGTATGCTTCTCACAGAGCGTTTTTGATCAGACGGCGCTAGGCCCGGCCCACGGAGACAAATTCTGGAGCCTCTGCTGGGTCCTGCTGTCCAAGTAGAGGACGGACAGGTTGCTATCGTGCTGCCAGTGTCGAGGAATGCAGTGCGGCGGCAGCCTCGTGCAGTAGCGCTGCAGACCAGCAACGCGGCGGATAGTTTTCACGTCTCGGTCTTGGCCGGCCGTGGTACAAGTCGGCGCCGGGCACGGCGTTCGGCAGGGAGTCGGGGGGGGAGGCTGGAAGCTGGCACGATCGATCAGCAAGAGACGGCCTCAGTCGTGATTGTTCCAGTTGCCGTCGGGCGGGCTGTTGGTTGCAAGTGGAAGAAGGACGAGACAGAAACCCCTTCTAACTGTCTCGCAGCACCACTCAGACAGGGGGACGAGTCAAAGCAGATGAGCTTAATACGCAGGGCGACGTTATACCGGGTCGTGCTCTGGGAGCGGAGTCCTCCGTCCGCGGTGCCAGGAACATGGGGAAGCTGACGTTGGCAGGGGGCGGACCGTAGGGATCCTCGGGGTTCGACACAGCACAGCATCAACGAGGGTTTGCGCACATCGATAGAGGCAACTGATGAGGCTGAGGGCCCACGGTTCGTGGATCGATCCACGGTCTTGGGGTCTGCGAACTAGCAAGGAGAGAAAGGGGGGGGGAACGAAGGGAACCTTATCAGATGAAGTATATCGGATCGACCGCCTCGTGATGGGTACAATGGTCGAGAGATTGCAACAACTCGGCACTCTTGCTCCGGCTCCGCAGTCCGGTATTCGCATGCTGTTCCATACTGGTTGGTACACGTACTCTGTGGGCGCTTGCAACCATTTGCTCCCTGCTTATTTACAAGCTTGAGCACTGCCGGCCATGGGCTCTCGGGCCCATTCAGGACGCTAGCAGTGCCTGCTTGCCCTGCCGTCATGCAGAATGCTATTCTTCCGAGCAGAACATTTTATGTCGCCGGTGTCGATGCTCCCTCAGGCCATGTCCAGCAACGGGGTAACCAACATGTCCTTGGAGAGTGTACCCGTGGAATGTACGGACTCACCTTTGAAATCCGGGAAGAGCATAGAGTCGTGAAGCTTGGAGCGGCTGCTCATGACTATAATTTCTAGCGCACGCCAGTGGCTGAAGCCTCAACCCGACTGCTTGCGCTCTCCCGCATGGCGGCGCTTGCACTCCGTCGAAGCTGGCGCCCCGTCGACTCGGTCCGTGAGATGGCGTGACTGTATTGTAGCGGCAGGATGTCATTGGTCGCAGCCTCGTCTGATTCGGAGCAGGATGCATCATTCATCCAAGTTCCGGAGACATACCAAGCTTGATTTCTGATGTTCCGAGTCGATCGATGCCGCATGATTCAGCGACATTCTTTGTTCTTTCCGTGCCGTGTCTATGAATAGGATGAAGCGCCTGAAACGCAACGAGTTGGACGAATGCGGCATGCCAAGCCAACAGGCCAGACTGCTCCTGTACAAGTACGGACCAAGGTCGAGGGAAACGAAAGGCCAACAACTGTTGCAGACTCTGTATTGCTCAGTATTCACTTTGGACAGCAATTGTTCTTTCGGCTCGCGATCGATGGTGATGGTTGGGATGGCATGTATTACTGTACTCTCATTACCTTAGTCAACCAATTGGAAGGAAGAGGTCTTGCAACTTCCAGATGGAATCATGTATGTAGGCCAGCAAGTGCTTGGTCATGCCTTCCTGCATCCGTCTGCACTTGCATCTCACTTGCACCTTCTCGATTGCCGGCATCCAGTCATAGCGGATTCTTCGTCCGTGATAGCGCCTGCTTCAAGACGCCCGCGCTTCGTACGGCAGGTGCAAGGTCTTGTCCACTCCCATTCCTCCGTAACTTACCTACCTACTCTGAATTGCATTCATTCCCAATTCACCATCACTGCCTTTTCTTCTCATCCTGGGAATTCGTCTCACCATCTCATCAACCAGACCGGGCCAGGCTTCCTTCCGCTAGGTTGCCTTTGTTTTCCTAACTTATGCAGAGATGCTTCAGCGCTTTGCTCCTTCAACATGGCAGGATTGTTGAATCAAGAAAAGCCTGTCGACGACCAAATGCACCAGCAAGTCAATCTCTAATACCAAGTTGCAGATCGCACCCTTTGACCGCTGGATCCACGACGCAATAGGAACTCCTCTTCTTGCGGATCGACTACTAGTAGTAGTACTATCTGCGGATATTACAGGCAGCCCTTTTCTTCCCTGGCCGCTCCCCTAGTCAGGTTACGGCCCCCGTCTCCTCTCGAGGCCCTCTTTTCGCATCCCCTCTCGGCTTCGACGCTTCAAGCCGACCCGACAGAAGGGAACGCTAGGCGCCTCCTCTTGTCTGCTTGGACTCGTCTTACCCACCTTGAAAGGATGGCATGGGCAGCTATGCCAAATTAGAGCCACAAGCCGGGCGGGGGAGGATGAAATATCCTACGGCTATGGCGGCCCCTACGAAACAGTACGTGCTACAGGGCACAAGATGCAAAGTCTTGCAATTGCTCATCGAGGCTGGTCCGAGGTAGGCATTTCAGGTCATCAGGCTGCTCCGAATCTTTGGTGGCCCAAGCTTTGGGGACCCGTCCACAGAGCGGATGGAGATGCTGCTGAGTCGAGATGGTGGACCAGAGTCTCCATCGTCTCGGCTGCTTACGGGCGAGCGCCGGCTTTACCAATCCTGTTTGCCTGTGCTGGCAGCCCCTAACGACGCTTAGTGGTGAGGGTCCTGCAATCAAAGATGCAATCCTTCAGATTACCAAAGCTTTGGGAAGAATCAAGACACAGATAGCCTATGGTAATTATAGTCCAGGCGTATGCCTATCCCGGCTTTGGAATGAAAGGGTGTATACACCCGATGCTTCGAACAAAGCTTCCTCCGGTATTCCCATTTACGTTGAGCTGAATTGACGACCACTACATACACCCTGGTCCACTTCGATAGACTGACTTCGACAGATTGAGGTTTGAAGAGCAGGCTTTTGGCACAAGTTCCAGTCTGCTCTTATGACATTTGTTGGTCGATGCTTTGCATACGGGGAACTTGCTCATGTCATCGAGCTCCTAGACCGCAATATGGCCCGAGTGACGTCTATTTAGAGACGCTGAGTAAATTCCAGGTGCATCCAACAGACAATCGAGCCACAGATTTTCGTTGCGTATCGTTCGATTTCCCACCTGCCAGGACGGAATGGGGCGTCCCCAGATCAGGTTGAGGCCAACATTACATATCTGTATGCGAGTCAGACTATCGAACCATGAGATTGGGATAGGCCTACCAACTGGCGTTGGATAAAGTTTGCATCCCCAGATCCAAGACAGTGGTACCTATTGCTACGTTTAGCATAACCGCATGTGTCCAGTATCATCAGTCTAGCCTCAACATTTCTTTATCATCAGCAGAACCGTAGCTCATGCGGGAGTTTCCCAATCGCATCACGCTGTTCCTTCCTGCTCTCAAAGAGACCGGGACTCTCCGATGTAGACCTGTAATATGGGCTACTTTCACACCTATTCAATGGGCATTTTCTTGTTCCTTCTTGGTGTGATGAATCCAGTGGTTTTGAAGCAAACTGATCTTGGTACATTAGCTGTGATGAACTGTTTGATAGAGCCATAGAATACTTCTATATCAGCAAGTAGAGATGAGCTCATCATTTGGCAACTCAGTCAGTAAGGAGATGATTTGTCTTAATGATAGTCGTCAGAGGGGTCATAAAAGTCCCCCTGCTTAACAGTACACAGAATGTTTTTGTCCAGTAAAATCAACAGTATAACTCCAAGTTCCCTCCAGCGGAGCAATGACGTGTCCTGCTATATCATAGTCATCTCAGATCCTTCATTTCAAACAGAATGGCAGTCTCTGGCTCATCTATAGCCCCTTTTCGATTCAAAACTACAGAAAGACGACAAAGCTCAGCAAGACACTGAAAACAGTAGCGCCCAGCTTTGTCGAGCCAGCGACGACAGGAGCCCCAGTCGGACGAGGCAAGCCGTGGCCGTTCGTAGGAGCAACAGGCTGAGCATAAGACGCCTCGTGGTGCTGCGTAGGGAAAGGAGGCTCAGTCTTGGACAGGGGAGGAGGCGGGACAGGACACGCCAGACCGCTGCTGCAGAGAGGTTGAGGATGGCAGTCCGTGCCAGACTCGCCGCAGACTCGGAACTCGTGGCAGCCCTCCTCCTCTCCGCCCTCGCAAACCTCGTGCCGGCACTCGGTGGTGCCCCTGCAGACGAAGTTTCGGCGGCATTCGTCGCCCCAGCACGGCTCCTTTGCGCAGTTGCCGTCGTAGCAGACAACCTTGGTGTCGTTGCACTCGTCGTCGTCGTTGGCGGCGCACTGGCGATAGCGGCACTCGCTGCCGCTGTCGTCGCAGACGACAAGCCTGTGCCACTCGTCATCCGTGTCGGCGCAGATCTCGGTATGGCAGCTCTCGCCGTTGCAGACAACGCGCTGGCGCTGACAGTGCAGTTCGCCGCCGTCGCCATCGTCGCGGCAGGGCTCTTCTGGGGCGCAGTGGTCGCCGTAGCAGATGATCTTCTTCCGGTGCCATTCGGGCGTTGGGCAGAGCTCGGTGGTGAGGGTCACGGCCTGGGTGACCTTGTTGCCGATGGGGCAGTGAGGCACGCCGGGGGCGCAGGATGTGATGGTGCTGGTTGTGGTGCTGGTGATTGTGTGTGTGTAAGTCCGCTGAGAAGGAGGATGAGGGGGTTGAGTGGAAGACTTCCATCCGTTGTTTTGATGAGGAGGATCGTGAGCCCAGGCGTGCTCGTGTTCGTGGCCGTCATCGTGATGGTATTCGAGATCTTCGCCGAGTCTGATGTACAAGCTCAGGATAACGGAAAGAGGCCGTTCTTTCTCACGGGCGAGCCGGGCTGCTGCGGTGAGGCCGCCGCAGGTCTGGCACTCGTCTCCAGGACAAGGGGTATCGCACAGGTCAGCGTCAACTTTGCCCGCGGTTTCCATGTCGAGCTCATCACCACAGTAGCAGTCCCTATAAAAGCAAATATCATCAGCATGAGGATCAGAAGAGGTAGATAATATACTAGTGCAGCTGGGATGATAAGACAAAAGGCACACAAACTTACGTGTTATAAGTGCCAAAGAACCTGCCGGGACAGCTCGCCGCGCAGAAATCAAGGTTCATAAAGTCCGTAGAGACGACCTTTCGGAAGAGAGGGAATCCGGCCGTTGACGCCGCACATCCGACGAATCTGAAGTCGCCGATGACCCATGGCTGGTGGGCAGTGTCGTCTTTGTGAGTGTGAGAGTGGGAGTGGGGGGCCGACGAGTTGCTGTAATGGCCGAGGGTGAGCTGGGCGCCCAGGGCGATGATTAAGGGGAGGTGCATAGTCGGGACCAGGGAGAAAAGGTTTGACCTAAGTGTGGATGAAGGATCTCGGGTTTGCAAAAGAGGGCAATGCAGAGACTTTGCTGGGTTGCTGGCCGGGTTGAACGATAGACGCCTTGATGAGGAAGTAATCTGTCTGCCAGAGAGGAAGAGAGAGTATCATCATTTATAAGGCCTGGGAATAACAGTTGCAGCCTTGCCAGGCGCGTCAAGAACATCGACACAATCCATCTTGAAGAATGTTCATGCGGCAGCCAACACCAGGCCCGTCATGCACGAGCCTCCATCGCGAAGAGCGTGTATCCCTCGAGGCCTCTTTGGCGTGTCAGCATTCTCTACCCACTCATGCAGATACTGCTAGTACCCAAGGCCTATCCTCAGTTTCCTTCATAGCATTCTTCGAGTCCGTCTTGCCTCTTGTGCCAAAAGCCGTCTCAGATCCCACGAACATGGAGGTGCCAACTCACGATAAGCTGAGATTTTCTGACGTATGATGAACGGGCAAGGAATTTCCGCCCCCGTCTTACGAAGATAGAGCTTGTTATAGAAGAGCATTTCGAACTAGAATAGTATAGATGCAGAGAAACATTGAAGTCCAGATACCAAACGGTCCGGCATGCACCCAGCGTCACGTTAACAATGGTAATGCGGGATTGCAGCAAGGGAGTGTTAGTTCAGCTATCCCCACGAAGACATTGGTTTCACTTGATTGAGAGATAAACTTGAAGAACAAAACGCGTGGAGTTGTGAGACAAAATCGCGTCGATGTGGGAAACTGTCGCCAGGGTTATGAAACACCATTTACTATTCTACAAAGTAGAAGGCCCTGTAAAGAAGCTCGAGGGAAAATGAGGCTATACTCACCTGGAGGTCTTATGAACGGATCGGATAGCTCAGTATGAAGCGCATATGCTTACTACTATATTCCAATGTTCTTATCAAAGTAAGGTATGAGAAACGAAAATGGGAAGACAGGAGAGGTTCAAGTGAGTGATGCATCACCTTGCGAATGAAGTGAGTGTACTGCCAATGAACTGCCTCGAAAGGTAGCTGTCTAAACAAATGTATAGCGACCCTTTCTATTGTGAGGATCAAGTTGTTCGAGTACACTTACTCAATCGCCAATATTAAGGCTCTTGCTCAATTATCCGCGGAGCTCGTTACGTCCAGCTGTTAAGTAAAGGGGAGTCAGATCCAGTCCAATCATTTGATGCATCTCAAAGTCCCATCGTGAATATCGCGACAAAGGCCCACCGCAAAACCTGTAATAAAGACTTTAGTACTACGTATGACTCTCAAGGGTCCCGGTATCCAATGCCGTCTCTTCTTGACCTTTCGTCCAAGAGAAACTGGAGCCACAGCATCTCGTTTCGTCGGTACATCAAATCCCCGCGCGAAAATAGCCTCAAAACCCGCCCATCGCATCCCACATCCAAACGACTTTATCCGGAAATAAGGACGGAAACCATGCCCAAGAAAGCGAGAGCAAGTAATTTTTTCCAGCCTTGCGAGCATAGACAATCGACCCAACAGCCATCTTCGATCGAGGATTGCCGATGCTAAATCCCGGAGTAAAACGCTTTGAGTTGCTCCTCACGAAAACCCTGCAAGCTTGCGGCACACATCACAGCTGAAACCCACATGTTCATGCGGAGACTGTGGTGATTCGCGCCTGTGTGAACGGATTCGTGTGAGGGACGGTTGGGAGCGGGGAAAGAGATTGGAGATGGAGGTTGTGGAGTGTATATGTTGCCACTGCTAACAGCGGCAAAGCGGCTATTTGATCGTCATGAATCAAGACGTTGGGTATTTGCAGAGCAAACATATATGAAGGCTCATCAGCGCCAATATCACAGCGGCTTCTTACACAAGTACAAGTTCGTGAGGTGGAAGCAAACCGTTTGTGAAACCAACCATAGCAGAGCGCAAACATGACGAGACTCCCCTTTCACGCCGACCACATCGGCTCCCTCATCCGGCCAGACCATGTGTCCGACACCCAGAAACAATTCGACGAAGGCAAAATCACCGCCGAAGACCTGCGCCTAGTCCAGCAATCAGCCATCAAGGAAGCCGTCAAGAAACAGCTGCACAATAACGTACGAGCCCTCTCGTCCGGCGAGTTCGACCGCAAGTACTACTTCTCAGGCTTCTTCGAGAAGCTCGGCGGCTTCCGCGAGGTCAGCCCCGTGCCATGGGACCTCGCCCGCCTCTCCGCGCCGCCCATCGCCGCGCTCAAAAAGTCCGGGCAGCAGTACCCCATGGCCGCCATCTGCGAGGGCAAGATCCGCTACGAGAGCAGCCCGTATCTGGATAACTGGCGGCTGCTACGCGATACCCTGCCGCAGGAGCAGTGGGCGGAGTGCAAGTTCACCATGCCCCCGCCGTGCTATTTCCACCTGAGGCTGGCTCCCGGCAAGTGCTATAGTCCGTCGGCATATGCTTCTGACGAAGACTTCTTTGCGGATCTGGCTGTGGCGTATCAGAAGGAGATCAAGACGTTGTATGACGAGGGACTGCGGAACCTTCAGATCGATGACCCGACGTTGGCGTATTTCTGCTCGGATGAGATGCTGGAATCGTTGCGCAGTGAGGGCGTGAATCCGGATGAACTGTTTGAGCTTTACCTGAAAGCTCACAACGACTGTATCGCGGGTCGTCCCGAGGATCTTCATGTTGGACTTCACATCTGCAGAGGTGAGTAATGTCACTGACATACCAACATCTTCACGTCAGAGCCCTTTCGTTTGTAGCTCACAACAACTAATGATTTGAATAGGCAACTTTTCCAAATCGCTTCACTTCAGTGAGGGGTCGTATGAGAAGATCGCCGAGCGTTTCTTCAAGGTCCTCAACTACGACACCTTCTTCCTCGAGTACGACAATGCCAGATCCGGCGGCTTCGAGCCGTTGCGCTTCCTACCAAAAGGCAAGAACGTCGTCCTCGGTGTGGTGACGACGAAGGAACCCGAGCTCGAGGACCCTCAGGAAATCAAGCGACGTGTCCTGGAAGCCGCAAAAATCATTGCAGACGGTCAACAGCGCAGCGTCGAGGAGGCCATGGAGAACATTGGCATCAGCCCGCAGTGCGGCTTTGCCAGCGTGGCCGTTGGCGCCGAGGGCATGACGGAGGAGAAGATGTTTGCGAAGCTGAGGCTGGTGAAGGACGTTGCAAAGGAGCTTTGGCCGGATCGGCCTTAGAGCTTGGAGAGGGCTGTGTAAGTATTTCCGTAGCCCAATACCATTGATTTGGCGTCTTACTTTACGGGTTCTAGAGCTCAGTGTAAGTGGTTGGTGAGAGGAGCAGAGCTGTCGACACCTGCATGCTTCGATGTGAGCAACGTACGATATCAATGCATTCCCGTTACAGCTGCATGTACTTCGTAACAACTGTCAGATAAGCCCTCATACCGTTGTGACTATTGGCGATTTGCTCCCGGTTCGTACGCCTAGATGGTATGGTCAAGGGAGGATGACTCCTCGTTTCTGCAAACGAAATGTAAGACGAAATACGTCCGCCTATTCGCTCCATCACAACCCACTTATGTACTGATGACTTCTCAGCTAGACGACTCCTGCATCGCATCCTTCAAATAGCCTTACCCCTAAGTTAGTATTTAAGGTCGTCGCCATAAGCCCTAGCCATGAATAGGCAAACCGCTTGTCCATTTGAAGGAAAACGAGGGTTTATGTATTGGGTATCGTGCATTTCATACAAGCCCGAGGGCCCGAAGTGCGTCTGCGAGTTCCGCTAGGCCACCTGCAGGTCGACTAACATGCTGTCCCATTAATATATGCCAATGAGTAATGTTGAATAATGACCTACTATATAGCCCTGCCTTTCCGACTATCAACTGATAAGTAGGGAATCACTGGAAGGTCGAAGAGTTGGTAGTTTCAAACACTCACTCATTATCTTGATCTGCCAGCTTGCCCGAGCCCATTGCTTGTTCCTGCAGCCACCATGCGGTTCCTTTCTGATACCATGGGCCCAGATCGGCGAGCTCTCGGCCCTCAGATGCAGGTCATCGCCGCTGGCCTCCCACGATGCGCAACCTCTTCGCTTCAGGCTGCCCTGGAGTCTTCTCATCTGGGATATTTTCCCTGCATGCACATGGCCCATGTGATGCCCAGCAACGAGCGAGCCGAACGCGTCCTCGAAGCCATGCGGGAAAATGATAAGGAGAAGCGACAGGCACTTCTGCACAAGATTTTTGATGGCTACCAGGCCACTGCCGACTTCCCTGGCTTCTGGTTCATCGATGATCTCATGGACATGTATCCAGACGCCAAGCTGGTCTTGAACCAGCGAAAGGGAGGCGACGAGTCTTGGCTACAGAGCTGGAACAGCAGCATTGCGTTCTTCCGCACCTGGACGTATCTGTTGCTCTGCCTGCCCGTGAAGAACGATCGTCTTCACTGGCATATGCACTATATAGCAAAGAAGCAAATGGGAGAGCGATGGCACACAAACGACCTGGACGGCTTCTATGATGCATACCAGAAGTTCGTGCTCGAAGAGGCCAGGAAGCGGAACCGCGAGGTTTTGACTTGGACAGCCGAGGACGGCTGGGAGCCGCTGTGCAAGTTCTTGGGCAAAGATGTTCCAAAGGAGGCGTTTCCCTGGGTCAATGACGCCGCAACCATGAAGTTCATCCAGAGGATCCTCATCGCGAGAGGAGTGGCATCGTGGCTAGCGATCCTTGGCGGTGCTTATGCGGCATGGACGTATGGACCATCTCTTGTGCAGAATGCATCGGTTCTTGTCCAGCACTTGCTGCGGCAATCTCGTCAGCTGCTGTAAAGGAGGTTGGCTGAGGATCTCTGGGTACTCATCTCGAGCCGAGATTGCCAGTTCACAGACGGAGTGTGATGCGGAATAGAGAGGACAGCCAGGGACAACATGGTGACTAAGGAGCTGTATATCGAGACGATGCTCGAGGGCGAGTTGTTGAATGAGACAAAATGAGTTTGCAGCAATAAAGACAGCACAGGGCACGTGTTAGATGAACAACCATGTCTTCAGGTTGTTCCAGTCAGCTGCTCTGCAGGTGCGACCTACAGTTGATGCCAAAAATGACATGCAGTACATACAGTAAGGGGGCAGGTGCCACTGCTCCGCCTGCCGTGCGAGCGGCGATCAAGCGAAATGACGTCCACGAATGCATGAGACTGAAAAAGAAGGAAGGAGACAAGCTTCCCCGACATCAACTACACCGCGATTATGCCAATGTCCAAGAGCCGCTGTATCAGAATCATCGTCAACTGGCAAAAAAAGAACGTGATGCATCTCCTCCGGGAAGGCTCGAACTTCCAACCTCCTGATTAACAGTCAGACGCGCTAGCCAATTGCGCCACAGAGGAAATCAATTATTGATTTTGCATCACCAATCTTGCCTTATACACACATTGCCATATTATTCATGTGCACTCACTGCTGTTCTGTTAACACTGTCACTTGCTGTTTGCTCTTCCCATTCAATCGGGGTCCTCCGCATCTTACATGTGATGCTGATGAGCCCTATCCTGTGCTGCGTATAAATGCAATCATTGACACGTGAATGCCCCTCGATCCGGCCGTTCACCGGTCTTCCATCTTCCGCACATACCAGCGTCTCTCCTTGCCGTCACTCCTCGTCAACAACCCCCCAGGTCACTGCCTATTACATACATACAACCGGAAATCACTTTAACCTCTACTAATAATATCCCTAAGGTACAACCCCTCCCCAGCCTCAAGGTAGGTAGACACCACGCTGCGTCATCCCCAGCTCCCGAAGCCACGCTTACAGCCGCTTCAGGCTCAGTCTCAGTCACGAGCACACCAACCGCCGCATTCGCCATTTGCGGGGGAGTCTCACCAGCTCTCAACTCCCACGTACCGCTGCAACTTGCACGGCACCGGCCGGCTTTTCCTCCCACCACAACGGCCACGCTTCTTCCGCTTTCAGCATCTCAGGTGCCCGCCCTGCGACTGAATACCAGAGTACATGCTGGTCACGGCTCACACGACACGCCCATCCCACCCGTTTGCCCTCTTGCCGGTCCCCTTTAATTGCCGTCCTCGACCACAAATTTACCAGGTGCAGGCAGGCGAATAACTTGCTGCTGATCCCTGCCGAAAGGCTGCGCTGCCACCGGAACTTTGGCCGCTTAGAGGCGTTTCTGCGCATCGCCGTCGCCGCCATCGTCTTCTTTTTATCGCCGTTCCGTCCAAGGACCCTGAGGCTGGGCTGGGGCTGGCTCTCGTGCCGGGTCGCAAACAAAAAGGGCTGCTGGGCTGAAGCTGCCGTTGAGCCCAAAGCCTTTTCTCCCAACTCAGACATCCATCCCTACCTTACCTTACCTGATTACTCTACCTTACCCAAGGCACCTCCTAATAAGACGGCCACTTCCGCAGACTCTCATTGTTACAATAGCCCAAAGGAATAAAGCGACTTGAACACCATTCCGTCGACATTCGACCCGCCATCCTACATCATTCAAGATACATACCTTATCTCTAGACAGTCCGCAGCGGCCGCGTCGGGCCTCGTCGTCCCGCCATCATGTTCGACCTCTTTGCGATGCTCTTATCGTGTGTTATATCTGCCCCGCCATCTTATGCCGTCACTGCGAATCACGGAGCGCTAACGCCTCAAGCAAAACAGCTCTATCGCATCCTTCCTCTTCCCCATCTTCGCCTCCTACAAAGCCCTCAAGACCTCGGATCCCGCCCAGTTGACGCCATGGCTCATGTACTGGGTCGTCTTTAGCATTTGTCTGCTGGTGGAATCCTGGGTCTACTTCATCCTTGCGTGGTACGTTCTTACAGCTGCTTCCGCCGTCCCCCGTCTTACGTCGGCTTTGTGACTGCTCGTATGTATGTCTGGGCTTCCATATTCATTCAGCTTGCCTTTTTCTAGGGTCCCGTTCTATGGCTACATCCGCCTTCTCTTCTTCCTCTACCTGATCTTGCCGCAAACTCAGGGCGCCCGGGTCCTGTACGAGCAGCACGTCCACCCCTTCCTGCGCGAGAACGAAGCGCAAATCGACGAGTTCATCGCCAGCGCTCACGAGCGCCTCAAGGCGGCCGGCATCGACTACTTCCGAAAGGCGATTGATTACCTGAGGGTTAATGTCCTCGGCCTCCCGCCGACCGAGCCCGAGCCTCCCGCCCCTCCGCCGAGCGTCTACCAGAGCTACACGCAGTCGCTCCTTGCCCGGTTTAGCATTCCCGCAGCGGCCTCGCCTGCTGGCGCCGGCAATGTGGGATCGGATCTCTTTGGTCTGCTGGCCAGCGCCGTGAGCGCGGCGACGGGCGGCTCGGGCAAATCAAGCGACGCTGGCGGCTACTCGTCGTCGTCGGTGGTCCCGTCGCACATACAAGACTCGGGCGAGAGGATGACCTTCATCGCCTCTCAGCGAGACCGCCTCAGCGTCCTCCTCACGGCCCTCGACCGGGAAGCAGCGCAGCTTCAGCGGAACAACGCGGGGCAGTCGCAGTCGCGATCGCGCTCCAGGCACATGGACAGCGATGAGGAGGTCACGCAGAGGCCCCCCAGCGGACTGAGCGGCTGGAGCGGACTCAGCAAGAGCCGTAGCGAGACGGATTTCGAGAAGATTGACGCCGAGAGCGGGGCCGAGGATGAGTCCAACCTCCGGCGCCGTCATGCCGGAGGCGGCGAGGGCGGCGGCGGCTCATGGATGCCCTGGGGGGGTCGCGGTGGGCAACCGGGCACAGGCCATAGCTCTGGACCAGAAGAAGACTAGCAAGATTAGGAGCGTCGAGGCGAATGGCTGGCCCGTGAGTATGTAGACAGTTCGTCACCACCACCACCACCAGGCCGCGTGGGCACTCGCGTGGGTGCTGTGCGTGCCTGCGTAAGGAGAATAGAATCTGGCACTCGTTGAGAGGTAATGGTATATCGAGGGGAGTGATCAGAGAGTCGCCCCCCCCCCCATGCAAATGAGCCTTGCCATGTGCCCTGTTTGTGTCTGTACATAAAGTATCGCCCATGGGTTTAACCGGAACTGCTGCACAGCATCAACCCACAGCCGGTTTTCTCTAGAATAATCATACAAGTCCACTGCTCGCCCATAACGCCACCGGTAATTTTCTCATCAGGTTCCCACTAGAATCTTCCTCAACGCCGTAGAGCCGGATGAACGAAGCGCCTTATTTGCTGATCTTGTAAGGGTATGCCACATCCACGTCGCCTTTCCTGTACCATTGCAATCGCTTCTTCTTGGTCGTGACGTGCTCTACCCACACCTCCTCCATGTGGTTCTTCTTGAACCACCGGATAAAGTGAGGATCCCACAGCTCGGAGGCAATGCCCAGGTCCTTGCAGCAGCGCATCAGGGCGTTGGACTTGCATCCTTCCACGGCGGAAGGCAGCTGATCGGCTGAAAAGTACGAGTTTTCGCCCTGGGCTTGCGAGACAAAGCTGGTAAAAAGACATGTTAGCAAAAACAAGTGGCTCGCTCAAGAAAAGCAGCAATGACGTAAGAGAGAGGTTCCTTACCGGCCATCCACAATGAGCGCATACTCCCGCGTCACAATCGTGTCGCCAACGACAGCCTCGCCCTTGGGAATCAGACCCCAGCCCATGGGCCCAAAGGCCTCGTTCAGCCTCCTCCGGTACTTGATCTCCGGCAGATAGACGACGCCGTCGGGCTTGACCTCGATGTCCTTTTCGTCCAGGGGCTGCATCAGGACTTTGAACTGCTTCTCCGTCACCGGGCGGGCTGATATCCCGTAGAAGCTCCTCGTCCAGTCCACGCTGACCGTGTCCACCAGGGAATCGGCCGCATCATCCTCCCTTGCGTCCTCGTAGGCGATGCTCTTGGCCTGGTAGACGACGTCGCTGTAGCTGGTGGGCACGGAGGCCGCTATCGCGGGCTTGGGCGTCGCCTTGGGGGCGGGCTTTGCGTATTTCGGGGCGGGGGCGCTTGGTTTTGCGGGAGGGGGCGTTGTTGTTGCGGATGCGTCGTCCGTCGTTGACGTGGTTGACGTTGTTGCTGAGTCTGTGGCATAGAGGCGTGCTGCTGGGGCTTGGATGTGTCTGGCGGGGAGGCGGGCGAGATGCCGTGAGGCGACGGCGAAGGATCTGCGTGCGGGAAGCATGGTGATGATTTTCTGTCAAAGATTGGCCGACAGTTTGTAAGGGTTTGGGTGTGAAGTTTGGAAAGCAATGGCTGAGATTTGCTTGATTCACGGTATTATCTGAAGAATTTCATGTGTTATCGGGCGAGATGGGGCCGGTGAAAAGAAGTTCCGGGCGACGGCTGTTTGTTCTACTTGATGAATCACTACCTACCAGGCAAACAAAACATCTAGTACATGATTGAATTCGAGAATGAGATGAAATCTGACATATCTGATGCGATGAGTTAAGATAGTTCTATTCCATATTGTGACAATTACATCTTGGTCAAGTGGTATGCATTCCTCTAAGCGTCTTTGGTGCCAGTTCTCTCATTATTGCCATGACGTTTCCAGCACTCTTTGAACTCCTCCATCTACAAGAACAAGACAATTGGTCAGTACTGCTAGAAGCTTGACTTTGGATAAGATGAAAATTAACAAGTGGTTCAATCGATGAAAAGACTTGCCTCTTTGGCACATGCTCTCCAATCCTTCTTTTCGTAGTAGCAGTCTGTCATTTTGGCATTTTCATCTGGCCGTGCGTGTCAGCGCTACCCTACAACAAGGAAGCTGGGTTTAATTTCCATCGCCATATCTCAGAGGTTGACTCTACAACCCTCTTCATTTCTTGATAAACCGTTGCATAGAAATTCCATGTATTGCTCGTCTCCCAGTCTCAACTTACCTGCGCATCCCGTGCTGAATATCCGCTTGTCCCTGGGAATCCCCAACAAAGACGAAGCACGGCTTAGCGTCGGCACTCTCTCAACCATCAAGAGGCAAAAAAAAAGTCAACAACCCGCTACTCACCACTCGTCCGGCTCGTCATCGTCGTCAATTGCCGCGGCTGCTGAAGCTCCCGCTGCCGGCGGCTTTTCCTGCACCTGTCCGGGCATATCGAGGGTGGTTCTGTAGAGCTGTCAAAAAGCGTCGTGAATCGGCCACTGGTGGTGGATGTAAGAGAGAAGAAAAGAGCAAAATATCGATCAATTATCTAGGTGGCGTGACTTGGGCTTTTCCACGGATCGGGGGAAAACAGTCATCATGGCGCCCAGTCGACTCAATGTTCTCGTCCACACAGGTCAATAAGCCTCAATATCTGCCATGCTCCTCTTGATAGCTGTATAATGGCAAAAACTAACTGCATCAAAAAGGCACCGGGACCACGGCCGAGTCTGTCAGGCACTGCATGCATTCGCTCCGCCGGCTGCTCTCGCCAAACTACGCCATCATCCCCGTCACCGAGACGGTCCTGCTAAAGGAGCCGTGGGCACAGACGTGCGCTCTTCTCGTGTTTCCCGGAGGCGCCGACCTTGGCTACTGTCGGGTGTTCAACGGCGAGGGAAACCGACGCATCAGCGACTTTGTCCGCCGCGGAGGCGCGTATCTCGGGCTCTGTGCCGGCGGGTATTACGGCAGCAGCAGATGCGAGTTTGAAGTTGGCAACAAGGCCCTCGAGGTCGTCGGAAGCAGAGAGCTTGGCTTCTTCCCCGGAACGTGTCGCGGCGGGGCGTTCAAGGGATTCGAGTACAGGAGTGAGAGGGGAGCTCGGGCTGCTATTATCAAGGCGGAGAAGCAGGCCCTGCGAGACAAGATCCCGGATGAATTCGCCGTTTACTACAACGGCGGTGGTGTTTTCGTGGACGGGAAGGCAACGGGAGGAGCAAGAGTCGAGGTGCTGGCGTCTTACAAGGACAAACTGGACGTGGACGGGGGCGATGAAAAAGCCGCAGTGATTCTGTGTCATGTGGGAGAGGGCAAGGCAATTCTCAGCGGGCCACACCCAGAGTGAGTTCCAGCCCTCGTCGGTCTCCAAAGGGCGAAAGATGTTGTCAACTGACACGGATACTCTTTCAAGATTCGCACCCGCCAATCTCAAGCCTCAAGCAGACATTCCGGGATACGGCGAACTCGTCGACAGACTTGCCGCAGATGACAGATCTCGAACCACCTTCTTGAAAGCTCTCTTGTCCGAACTTGGCCTCGAAGTTGTTCAAGACGATTACACGCCCCCCTCCTTGTCCAGCCTCCATCTCACCGCCCTCCACAGCGGCAAGGTGACGGAGCTGCTCTGCGATTGGGGAGACGCCATCGAAAAGGAGAATGGCGACGAATTCATTCGTGGGGAAGCAGATACTTTCAAGATCATCGTAGCCCATCAGGAAGGGTTGAACCTGGATGAGCTTGAAGAGGCTTTGCCGCAGGCCGACACGATTGATGACCCGAACTCCGTCATCAAGAAGATTGTTGCTCATGAGGACAAGTTACCTAGCGATTCGCTCACACCTCGCTTTAGCCACGAGCGGTTTTACTCTGGTCTGAAAAAGTATAGGAGGGTTGAGTCTGGAGCTGAGCACTGGGGCGACGTTTTGCTCTATGGCGATGTCGTTACCAGCACCAACACTCTGCTTGAAAAGTGCGTCATCCTGTTCACCTCCCTTCCGTATACATATTTACAGCCGCTAACTCATCGTCGTAAACAGAAACCCAAAACTCAACAGCAAGCTGCCAACTGGCTTCGTCTTCACCGCCACCACTCAAATCGCAGGCCGGGGACGAGGATCCAACGTCTGGGTCGCACCCCCGGGATCCCTCCTCTTCTCCGTCGTCATCAACCATCCGGCTCACCTCGCCGCTTCAAGACCCATCGTTTTCATCCAGTATATCGCAGCTGTCGCCATCGTCGAGGCCATCCGCTCCTATGATGCGGGCTATGAGAATATGCCCGTCAAGCTGAAGTGGCCTAATGACATATGTAAATCACCACCGATCCTTTTGCCTCTACTTTCCTCCCTTCATACCTAGTCCTCTTAACTAACAGCAATAGATGCCCTCGATCCCACAAAGCCAGCATCGTCCCAGTCCTACGTCAAAATTGGCGGCATCCTCTCCCAGTGCAGCTACTTCAACGGCGCCTACCAGGTCGTCCTCGGCATCGGCATCAACGCAACCAACCCGCGCCCGACGACCTCTCTCTCTGACCTGCTCCCGCAGACCGGCGTCGCGCCTTTCCACATTGAGACCCTTCTCGCCCGCATCATCACGCGGCTCGAGGCCGTGTACGAGCATTTCCGTCGCGAGGGCTTCTCTCAAGATCTGGAGACGCGGTACTACCGCCACTGGCTGCATACCGGACAGTCCATCACGCTGGAGGCCGAGGGCGGCGTCAAGGCGAGGGTCGTGGGCATCACGCGCGATTGGGGGATGCTGCGTGTCGAGGAGACGGATTCCGAGGGGAGAGGGACCGGCAAGATGTGGAGTCTCCAGAGTGATGAGAATAGCTTCGACTATTGGAAGGGACTCGTCCGTAGAAAGGCATGAAGTTCTTGATGCTATTACATACGCTGGGTCACATTCAAGAAGAGATCATACATAGTAGACAAAGGCTTCATCTAATCGTCAATTTACACAAGTGGTATGTTACATTGTCTCCTATCGTACAAGCAAAGTAAGCCAATCGCGCGTGTTGAAGATGACTCCAAGAACGCCTCTTGCTTCTTCTTCTTCTTTTCCTCCGTTTTTTGTGTTCGTCTAGACCCAGTCTCCTGTGGCTTCGAAGCCTCTAGATGTCCTCTCCTCCATAAACGCCGTGCCATGCCACTGTCGAGTGAAGATGTGGTAGTACGATTACCCAGAAACAAAAGAAAATAGAAAAAGAAAATCGCGTGCGAAACGGGAGGAGCTCGTCTGTTTTTCTCTTTCGTCACAACCCCCTCTTGAGTGGAGGAGCTGTCGCGGCCTTGCTCCCACTTCCCACTTAGCACAGCGAGCTGCCGCGTAAGCTGTCCCTCCAATTCAAGCCATTCGTGAAAAATATGCCGTAGTCGTGTTATAGTAATATCGTCCGCTTCGTCAAAAACCAACCGCTCCCCCCGCTCATTTATCCTTGTAGATCTTCGGCTTCCACCCCTCCTTCGCCTCAGCCTCCATCTCGGCCTTTTCTCGTATAGGCCCAATCTCAGCCTCGAAGCGCTCCTTTGCCCGCACAATCTTGCTCTGCAGGTAGAAGCTGCCGCCCTTGTCCGGGTTGTTGGCGTCGAATAGCCGCTTGTACCGCTCGAGCACCTCCTCGACGTTGGCCTGGCCGTTGGCGGGCGGCTTGACGTTGAGGATGCGGCAGGCCTCCTCCAGCGTCATTCCGGCCGTCAGAGAGGCCCGGCCTGAGGCGCTGACGCCGGCCTTGGCCTGCGCGCGCTGGTACTGCGACGAGGCTTGGGCTTGTCGGTAGGCCGCCATGAAGGACCGGCCGAGGATGCGGGAGCCTGTGAGGAAGGCGGTGATGACGAATTTGTGCGCCTGTTTTGCAGTAGAGTGATTAGTTGCTGTCCATTGTGTCACAGAAAGCGCCAGGGCCTGGGAGCATTCATCCGCCATGGCGTCTCTTGTCGCAGAATGTCACGATGGCGGCATGAAGATCCGGGGCCTCGGCAAGCCAAGGAAGAAAACGGTGCGGGCATACCATGGTGGTGAAGAACCCAGTGCAGCCAACTCCAGCAAAAGGAAAGACGCTCTCTCAACAGCTCAAAGAGTCTGAAAAGTCCTTGAGGAATGCGAAATGTCCGGTGAGCACCGTCCTGCGGTCAAGAATGCGAAAGTTCGAGAATCGTTTTGCCTCTTCGAAATTTGCCAATCCCGGCTTTGCGACTTAATCCGGGATGAGTTGCTGCGTTTTTCTCGTTTACCCGGAGTTCTGCCACTCACCGAGCGCGTCCACCTCGGTCAGGAAAAGGGCGCCCAAAACTCCCCCACCATGTTCGTATCCCAGCAACATTCCAGCCACAGCCGCGCAGGATCGCCCCCCCTGACTGGAGAGCCACGCAATTGCCGGTCATATTTAGTAAACTGACTGGACCCGACAGACCAACAAGGCCATTGGTAGGTTTATTCTCCTCGTTGTGCTCCTAGACGGGAGAGAGTCAGAAGCTAGAATACTCTCCGGACCATCTGCAACCGCCCACTTGCCGAGATACGCGGGTTCTGCTTGGCTAGACTGGGATTGTTCTCCCAGAAGCTTTGCAAGCCCTGTTTCATTTTCTGGTGGTGAGGCTGAAGTCCCTGCTGGTGGTCGTCATCACCTGCAAGGGTTGCTTGTGAAGAGGCCATCTTCGAAGACGCCAATTATTACTACTTTCTTGGATCTGATCTTTCCCTCTCTGTCTGCTCAGTGCTACAAGTACTTTGCCATATCTTTGAACACTTCGTCAATCTTTTGTGAATCATCAAAGAAGAGCCAGAATCGCAGCAACCATGGCGCCCCATGAAATCGAAGACATGCTACGGCGAGAGGGCAGCAACGTCTCTCCTGACAAATACGACGAGTCCACAGAGCCGGCCGAGGCTCGCCAGAGACGGACTGGGCTCCTGGTGCCCATCTTGGCAGCCTGTCGAGAAGTGTGGGTGTCTGAGCCGGATGAGCTGGAGCTCATGGTTGAGAAACTGGGTGATGGCAGCAGAGACGGTGAGTTGCTATCAAGCACCCGAGGAACCGCAACTTGAGGAAGCCAGTTTCGGCAAAAACAGAACGAAACGACCTTCACTGGCAACATCCCCTCAACTGACCACATGTCTGGAACCGTATAGTCGCTTGGCGGGGCCCCTTTGGTGATTCCGGGATCCTCGAGTTCTTCCTCCGCATTCTCGCGGGCAACGGGCTGAAGCAGGGGCTCAAGATACACATCTTGCGGCTGGTCGGCAACTCTTGTGCAGACACGGACGAGAACCGTGCGAGAGTGATTCAAGGAAATCATCTCGATACCGTCATAAACCTTCTGCAAGATGAGAGCCTGATACCCTTCACCATCCCCGTGCTTTTCAACATTTTGGTTGACTATGGTAATAATATGATCTCCCCCACAAAAACGTTACTCAAGCTGGGACATCAAAGAGACTAATGAGTGCCTGTGTGAATAAAAGAACCTGCACAACTGGCTGCTTCACAGGCGAATCTCAACCAGCGACTCATCGACCTCCTGTCCTCCCCAACCCTTGCCAACTTCATCGTCTTCGTCCCTTATTTCTGCAAGATTCTCGCCCTACTTGTTAGCCAGGAGGGCGAGGCAGCTCGTGCCAGTCCCAGAACCGTTGAGGTCCTCCTCACACTGGCCATGAGTCCGCCCTCTCGAGATGATCTGGACGACTTCACATCGCTTGTCTCGGTGGCGGGTGCTTATCTCGCCAATGACAGATTCCAAGCCGCATTGATCCAGGGGCCGTTGATGCAGCTCTTCCTTTCCACCTTTTACCACGCCCATACGCACTTCAACCTGCTCGACATCGATGACGCCGATTCGGCGGCATCCCTGAAGAAGCTTCACTCCTCTCTCCTCATCAACTTGGCGGACATTACCGGCAACGACCTGTTCACCTCCTGCTATCCGTTGCAGAGCCCGATCGCGCAAAGCTTGCTTGCATGGCTGCAAGGCTCGAACCTGCAACTACAGACTGCAGCTTGTCTCGCCCTGGGCAACATCTCCCGCTCCGATGAAGCCACCACCTCCCTCGTTCAAGCCTACTATGCCCACGCCCCCTTGGTGAGGCTCCTTTCGAACACCGAGATCACGGACGCGCAGCTCCTCCATTCGGCCTTGTCCTTCTTGAAGAACCTGGCCATCCCGGTACAGAACAAGCCGCTCCTCGGTGACCTGCTGGAGGTCGGTTGTGTGCCGCGATTCTTCACGCTAGACACTTCGCCGCAGGTGCAGTTTGCCGCCGTGTCTCTGACTCGGCTGCTTCTCGTCAACTGCCCTCCCAACGTCGCTCGCATCTGCGCTCCTCTCAGCGCAGACCCGGCCAGCCCGGCTCACGACCTCTCCAGCGTGAGCGGCATCATCTCTCTCTACGAACGCTCCGATGCCGAGCCCACAAGGCTCGAGGCCGCCCGCGCTGTGGCTGCCGTATGCCGCATGCTTCACTCCAGCCCGGTCGCCCCCTTGCTGCCAGCCTGGGGCGGTTCGGTTGCAGAAGACGACGACGGCACGCCTGGGGATGAAGAAAGCCGGCGGCGGGCATACTTTTACAGCAAGCATGACATTGCGAGGGTCCTCTCGTTCCTGATCGTCCAGCAGAAGTGGCCGACTCTCCGCTCGGAAGCGTGGTTCGTCTTCGCCCTTATGTGTCGCTCCAAGGAAGGCGGCCGCGTCATCATCGAGGTGCTCCAGATCCACGACACCATGACGGCCCTCATCAAAGCCGTCACCGGCAGGGATACGCCCCTCAGCGAGACGACGACGGCAGCAACCATCACCAACGAGCAGCCTGCCGACGAGGCCGCGGTGGTGGCGTCCGATGGGCAGATTGCGTCCATGGCGGAGGGCCTGGGGCTGCAGCCTCAGCAGGCGGATCCAAGGCAGAAGGAGAGCATGGTGCGGGTGGATCGGGAGAATGCGCTGGTCATGTTGACGGAGCTGCTTCGGTCGTGGGGGAGTCAGCTGCCTGGGCTGAGGGTGAGCATCTTGCAGGATTTGGTCAAGGAGGGCACGGAGATTGTGGCTGCCCAGAAGGCCGCGGTGCCTTGAGTGAGAGTGTATGTCTTGTCTTGTCTCGCTTTGCCTGGGGAGGCCGGCGAATAGAGCGAGGGGGCCTGGTATAGATACTACTCACATCAACAAGTTTTTATATATACATAGAGTATTTGTCTATATCCTCACAGTAGTCACAATGCAGGTAGCAGCGGAGGCGCAAAGTGGACAAAGCGTCAAATGCAAACCTTTTCACGATATGAGACTACGTTGCGCCCATCATGCCCTCGTTTCAAATTAAATGCCAATTGGCCCTTTTGTTTGTATGAGCTGTGCGTAATACATGGTGGGCAGAGTCGGTTTGATCATGCAAATAATTCTTTGACCTGGTGTGTGACCTAAAAGAGCATATAGTAGTTATTTTCCTCCCGTAACCTTGGCCCAGCACACAGTTCATTCAAAGCTTCGAAAACCGAACCCTTGCCACACGCACACACTCTCCCAGTAGAGGACGCAAAAGAGCAAGAAAACCCTTAAAACACCAGTTTCCCTTTTTTCTAACAAGAAGTTTATTTCTTGGCAGACTCGGCCTCGGCCGCGTCCCGAGCACGCTTCTCGCGGGCACCCTGGTACCTGGCGTTGCTTCGGGCGTTGCGAAGCTTCGCGTAGGCACCACCCTCAACACCGGCGGGGATCTCGCTCTTGCTAATCTCAGTGACGCCCTCGGAGACGTGGGCGATGGGCAGAGCGGCGGCGATGGAGCGGACCTTGTCCAGCTGGGAGACGTCGGTCTTGGTGTCACCCTTCTTGGGGGCGTTGGACTTGCGGGGCAGGAGGATGAGGCGCTCCTTGTAGGCCTTGAGGCGGGCCACGTTGGCGGCGAGGCTCTCCTCGCTCAGGTTCTGTCGGCGGAAGTCGACGGCGATGCCGATGGTGGGAGCCAGGGACTTGGAGATACCGGCCTCCTGTGAGAATTTGTTAGAATCCGTTTCCAGCCACTACCGGGGTTGCTTTCGTTCTCTTCTCCCCGTATCCAAAGGCCTTGGCATATGCCACTTTCCGAGTGTTTTCCTCCTTTTACTTTCTTCTCCAGGCCAGAGGTTCGGGGAGAAGAGGACTCTCAATCAAGTCGTACCTTGAGCTCAGTGAGGGTGAAACCACGACCGGCGCGGACGCGGCGGTTGTACTTAATGGTAGGGCATCGCACCACGGGGCGGAGCTTGTCGACGGGACGAGGAGCGAGGGCAGCAGCCTTGGCCTGACGAGCAGTACGTCTCCGAGACTTTCGGCCGGGCTATTCGAACAAACAAAGGTCAATATCCCGTTTCCAAAAATGTCGAATGACGCATCTATTTTTTCTCGAGTCGCTCGTTGGAAGAATCGCATACCTGGTCAAAGTGGGTGCGAACCCGCCTCTGCCAATCCTTGCGGAAGTCTGTGGGAGGAGTCAGTCGCCGCCATTCATCATCAATCGCATCGTCGCTTCGAGATTCCGGGTGGGATGATGCTCACGGTTGCTGATGATCGTCTGGTTGTGCTTGATCGCCTGGACGTGGGAAAAAAAGGTCAGCAACTCTGTAGAGTCGAGCAATTCGGCGTCTTCATCTGGGGATCATGCCATACCATTGTGTCTGATTGCGATCAACGTGGACTCCGGTGGTCGTTGTTCGGGAGGCGTTGAAATTTCGGAGGATGAGGCTCGTCAAATTCGTCGAAGGGTTTTCGTGCCCTACAATCGATACGTACCTCGTGGGGACATGCCCTGCCGCGCACCAAAAAAGCGAATCCTGATCACGTGCCCCGCTTAGCAATTACTGCTGCCTTGGTGCCTGAGACTGCCGCGTTTTTGCGCCAGGCACCAACTTGGAGCTATAAAACAAAGTGCACGCTGCCGCTCCTTTGCTTGTTTTTCTTCTTTTCTTTTCTTCATACTTACCTTGTTTCGAGCACCCCAGCTCAAGAATTGGGGTGTTCAGTAAGGAAGGCCTGCATTGCACATCGCGGAGTCATTCCTTGCTCCATTGTCCTTCGGGGCCATGGGAGGCGTAATTTTTGATATATTCCACTCCGTTTTCATTGTGAGACTGCTATATGCAGCGTCATGAAGAAGATGAGATCCGAGCCTCATAGCTCTTGACCACGACGCGTCAGCGAATGGAAAGCTGCACGGTGACTGAACAGCTGTGTTTGCCTTGCTGCTGCGTACATGACAAGAAACGTGAACAAACGTGGGTAATCCTTGATAGGATTGAAAGCGAACAATGATGGTTCTCATTATTTGTAGATGCTGCTGTTTCCACTGCTGATGCGCGAGCATCTACGTGTAACCTTTACCTGCGTCGTAGTTGTACGTGTAAATTATCTTTTGCCAAAATGATGGATTCTTGTACGACAAACTGAGACGATTCGATGATCCTCCGTTTGAGCAGCTCAATGATAATCCATACAATCTGTAATTTTTTCTCAAGACAAAGCCCATCTCTGTTTTCGTAGTGCCAATTGTTTCCCGTCAATTTTCTTCAAGGAAAAAAAAACAGCCCATTTCTGGTCCCCCGGAATTCTCCCGCACCAATCAGGCCCGGCGAATTCCACACTTCTTGGCCGATTCTGCGGCGTGCACCTTGTCGAAAATCTCACGGAAAGCCGATCAAGCAAAACCTGTCTTGATGTCACCTTTTGCCCGTCTGCTCCCCTCAAACAAGTCGCTCTACAATCTCGGCCTCTCTTTGAGCCTTGACTCTTGACGGTTTCCTTTTCATTCCTTTATATCCTATAAATCTCCAAAATGGCGTCCCGGATAGGACCTCGGAGCGTCAAGGACGCAACCAGATTCACCTCCACCATACCCCACGCCACCTCAAAGTCTGCCACTTCTGCCGCGACTCCCAGCGCCGCCTCCAGGATTCCCGGCGAAACGCCCGAGCAGAGAGTGAGGCGATTGAGGCAGGCGCATCTGGCGGCGCAAAGGGCGCAGGTCAGCAAGGCGGACAAGGTCATTGATGCGTCAAGGCGCTTCTTCGATGTGGCCCACAGGTGGACGGTGGGGGGCCTTGTCATGTTCACAGGTACGTGATTAAGCTGGAGCGGAAGGAGTCGATTTTGAGCGGGAAGAGTGAAGGAGAGAAGCTTTCAGAAAAGAACGAATAGACTGACAAACAATTTATCGGTCCAGTCGTCGCCGGCGTCGTCAGCGTATACTCCGTCTGGGACATGCTCCGCTACAACCGCGCCCGCCGCGCCGAATGGATCGAGGCCCAGCGCAAGTTCGAGGCCGACGAGCTTTCCACCGCCCGCCTGGCCTACCTCAGGGGCGACGCAACCGAGGAGCAAATTGCCCTCGTTGAGGAGGCCAACGCCGAAGCCGAGGCAAAGGGCGTCAAGCTGCCCCCGCTGCTGTCACCGCCCGAGCACCGGACGCATTTCGAGGAGGCCGTCAAGCCTGCTTTCAACGCGGGGAAGACGGCCGAGGGCAAGGGCAAGGGCTTACTTGGCTTCCTTTGGGGAGGTAGCGGTACCGACAGCACCAGCACCAGCACCAGCACCGATTCGGAGAACAACAGCGCAAGTGCCATTGTCAAGGATGCGTGGGAGAAGGAGAAGGAAAACCAGCGAAACGGAGGCAGCTTGGATCAGCTCGGCCTGGAGACGGGGAGCGCCTCACCAGAGCCCAAGAAGAAGGGCTGGTGGTGAGCTCATCGCCGGCGGCGGATGAAAGGAGAAACGAAGAAAAGGAAGAAAAGGAAGAAAAGAGAGAAGAGAGAAGAAAGAGCAGAGACAATGGTGAGAAAACTATACACCGTGTTATTTGGGTAAGGAGGGCGGCAGCCGTGTATCATACTACATGTCGATGGGCTTGCATTAGATGGAGTCGGGAGTTCAATTGTTGTATGTACTATAAGGGGACACACCTCCCAGCTACTATTTTATCACATGCATCCGAATTTGTCGGGCATACAGGACTCCAGAAACAAGAATGGAAGTGGATACGGAACTGGATCTGAAGATGTGAGTGAAGATGCATTTGCAGGCGAAATGTAAGGGCCGGTGTCAGTTGGCTTGGAAAGATTCCCAGACGATTTACAGCACGATACTTTGTACTTGTCAGACGGTTCACTTCGCCGTTCTCGTACAAGTAATTCCTGCGTTCAAAGAAAAGAACCAAGACAGCAATCCATCCAGAGCATCTGACACAGCTCTAAAATGAAATGGCCAAGAGCACCCTTTTTCAATTGAGTAACGCTGCCCAGCACCAACTGGAAGTAGAATGCGCAGCAGTGCATGTGGTCCTACCGACAGCATCTCGTTGATGGCTTAGTGGAAGAGTGCACAGAACATGGAAGGGAGCGCTAGGGAACCTCGTCACAGCTGTGCACGCAGACTACTGGTAGGTACCTTAGTGAGACCTAGCCGTGAAGACAATGCATAAGGTATTGACGTGCCTCGTCTATCTCAAGTAAAGTTCCGGGCGAAATTGAGGTTAATCCAATTCCTTGTTTGTTCATTTTCCATCAACGTCCATGAGAAAAGTACTTTCATCCTGTCGCAAGGTCCAAGGCTGGGGTTCAGCCTCAGCAGTGTTACCCAAAGACCTACAGCCTCTCTAGCATCGAGTGGCGCGTCTAGTCGGCAGTGCTAACACAATCACATCCAAGCAGCGATACCGGATCCAGACATGGAAGACAGGCAGAAATCCAGAGCGCCCGGTTGATGGTGGAAGTTTATACTGACTTCTACAAACTCATGGCGAAAGTGCGAGATGGGTTCACTTCTGTTGCCGTGACTCCGGTGAGCAAGAGCAGGAGCAAGAAGCAGAGCGGTGCTGGCATATAAAGAGCCCAGGATAGCCAGGTCAGGGTTCTGGCTAGCCACTCCCTTTTTCCTTCACTGCCGTCCCCTCACCAACAACTGCCAGCCGCTCTTTACCGTACTCTCAGCTACCAACCTCTAGATATCACAGCAGGCAAGGTAGCCGTCACCCACCTGGCACTCTATACTCTCATCTCTTGCTCGACATCGCTTCTATTTGTTTTTTCGACTCCTCCAACCAATCGCCACTCCCTTTGCATATCATATCTTTGATCAAAGCACTCTGGCACCGCGCAGGTCTGCTGCAATGGCTGATACGCAGTGCTACATGGGCGTGAACATGGGTCGAAAGCGTGGCCGCGCCGCAGACGAGGAGGAAATGGGCTGGGGGCAGCACCAGAATGTGAGTACAATCAGACGACAGACGAGAGAGACATGAGACGCTCTCTGTTGCGAGGGACCCTCTGCTAACGATCCGAGTAGAAACGATTTCAGTACCTTCCAGTCCAAAGCTCGCCAGACTCGGCTCAGCAGTGGCAGTCTGCATCATCCTCCCTTACCTCTCTCAATTTCAGCTCTCATGGCCCCGTGTCGCAGCCCGGCTTTGCTCCTTCGTCACACCAAGCTGCAGCAGGCCCTTCATCTTACGGTGGCGCGGAGCCGAACACGGCAGCGAGCTCTGATCGGATGCCAACGCCGATGCGCCCCAGCTTCGCCGCCCAGGTGCGCGGCCAGCAGCACGAGTGGGCCGGCCCTGGTCCGGTTGTGACGACACTCAACGGCGTCGTCAACATGGGGCATCATCCCGCCGGCTTTTCGGATGATCAATCTGTACCTCGCGTCATGTCGGGTCTGGAAGACTGGCAAGTTGTGCAACATGAGCGAAGGCTGCCCTCCCCCATCTCGGAAGTCGAGGGCTGCGCCCGGGATCAAGGCTCCAGCGACACTGCCATGATGGTTGACGATGGCATGGGCGCGACCATCGGTGCTCCGTTGCCGACCCCTGCTGCGGACCACCCCAACACGATGATGAATGTCGAGTCGCCGGCACAACTGCAAGCGGTCGACCGCCAGGGTGACGCGCCTTCGCCTAGCCCCGGCCGCAGAGGCCATACGCGAAGCAGGCATACCATCAGCAGCTCGACGTGGGGGGCCCGTCCGATGTATCAGGAAACCACCCCTACGACGGATGCGAACGGGGTCAGGAAGAGCTTCAGCATTGGCTACCGACCCGATTGTGAGAAATGCAGAGCCAGAGTAATTGGGCACTACAATCACGTTGTCATCCATTAGCAAGGGAAGACCAAAGCCATCGATCCCAAATCCGACCCGGATTTGTGGGATGCCGCCGTCAGGCCCCTTGATTGGCAGGCCAAGCGACAGGAGCTGGCCAAGTCTTCCAATGGCAGTCACAACACCATGAAGCAGCAAACATCAAAGTGTCCAGAACCGGTTGCCTTGCCTAGTCGGCGGCTGGAGTTTCCCGTATCCAAGCTCAGACAGAAAGCCTTTTCGACGCGGGGCAAGATGAGCAGCCCTTTCTGGAAACGCCAGAGGCTCATGGTTGATCACGACATCCACGGCCACATCGTTTGACCTTTTTTCCTTTGTTCTTACACTTGAATTATCACGACTCGGCGCTGGACGGAAGGGGACTATATTTGCGACGCACTCGTTATTGCTATTACGCATCGACACTGTATAGTATTGCCTTAATACTCCTTTTTTTCTTTTCTTTGTTCTTCTCAGATGAGAGACCAGATACGATAGGTTTGCTTACGAGCTATACTGGCTCCTCCTCGAACAAGCGCACATTGGAAGCGATTTGCTTCATACTTGCCGACGATACACACACACACACACAAATTAATGTTTTTGGGACGACCATAGGGTAAAGGACGGGCAGATTAATGAGAAGCGACTTTTAGGTAGACTTAACGAATTGACCTCATTTGAGATTGATGGATCAACAATGCTTGTGAATTTTTGAAGAAGACACTCAAGACGACTTAAACTCCTGATGACTGCGTGATCAAGTACTGGGAGAAAACAGCAAAAAGAAATCCTCAAGATTTCAGATCTCCTCCGGGAAGGCTCGAACTTCCAACCTCCTGATTAACAGTCAGACGCGCTAGCCAATTGCGCCACAGAGGAATTGATGATGCGGATTCTGATGTAAGGGTACATGAAGGGTGCATGACTGAGAATGCACGTCGAATTCGAGTCTTGTGCTGGTTGCCTTGGCTGTAGCAAGATGAGGACGAGGGGGAATCAGGATGAGGTACGTTTCGCATATGTGTTGGCTATTTGACAGTGCCAATGCCGCCTTATTTTGGTGTTGGTGCGAAAGTTGGGAGATTTGGCAGACTACGACAGGGAAATGAAGTCGTGGTTGATGCATGAGGGCAAAACAGATGGTTATCATGGGAGGGGGGAAACCATTACCACAATACTTGTAGAGGCAGTTCGAGGAGACGGTCTTTGATCGTGTCATGTAAGTCATCAGGAAGGTGTCGCTGGGAGGTGTGTGTGGGATTTGGCTGGCGAGGTGGGAGGTTCGGAGTAGATGGTAGAGGGCATTCTACCTCGAGCTTGTTGCAGGAAATCATGCCCGCTTGTCTACCTACTCCGTATGTATGGCTAGTGTCTGTATCTGTTTGTGTTTGTGTTTTATCGTTCACCTCCTTATACCTTGGCCATCGGCATCAGTCAATGTGGACCTATGTCTACCTAAGGTAGGTAGGTATGTCAACAGATCCGTACGCATACAGCTGAGTCGTGATAGGCGCCACCGTGTGCGAGCTGTCGATAGCATACCTGATGGAAAAGCGGACATATACTTTTATGGATTGAACTATATGTAGTACCTCTCAGTCATTATTGCTTCCATTCAGTTTTCCAAGCCTTGCCGCTATGCATTGTCGAATATCTGGTAGTTCACGGCATGGTGCAGGGTAGGTAAGAATGATGGTAGTGGTGTGGTGGTGGTGGGGGGATATCGGGAATTTGGAGAGCAATGGAAACTTCAGTCTCAGTCTTGCACCACAAGTACGCAACCGTCAACATTTGGCTGATTATCCGGTGCTAGAGACCTCTCAGCGTTCGCAGTTCGGTATTTTTCGGAATATTCAAGGACAGCTGTCTCAAGAACAGGCTTCATCTATGTTTTCTCGTTTCGTGCCCTGGGTGCCGGTGACTTGAAGACCACTCATACTTCATCAAGGCTTGTGCATAAGGTACTCACTCACTCACAGGCGCCCATCACCAGCCTCAGCTGAATAGGTACCCAGGTAACCATCCCCAACGCCTCATGCGATCTAATAATCCCCTGCTTCAAGCTACGCAAGTTCGATTCCATATCCGCTGGATGCTTCAGACCAGCCCGTGTTCTTTGGGGCATATAAAGTACCGTAGGCGTGTAAGTGTGGTACCTGAGTCGGTATAACGTTCACATGCTCCGGAGATCGCATCGAATCCAGCATGTACAACAACCATGATCTCCCCGAAGCGGAAGGCGTCAGCTTATGGAGCTTGGAATAAGCCATCTAGTACCTAAGGTAGTAGATGCAGTATCTCAGTCGATGGTACATGCACTCGGCAAGAAAGGAACACAGACGGAGCAGCTTCTACAGCGCCTGCAAGGAAAAAGTGTCAAGAAAGGCAGCACTCCGATGATCTGCTGTCAAGGCTGGCTGTGGACCTTTCAAAATAGAGGCCTTACTCGCAGAACTGGTCGACTCACATACTGACCAATTGCGCGCCCCCAATTGACCACTCTTGGAGCTAAAAGGCAAACCGACGTAACTGTGGCCTCTTTTTCCCTTGTTTACTGGAGACCAATTTTTTTTTTCTGGCAGCTCACGGCGCATCCACACCTCCGAAGCACGGCCGATCCCAGGGAATTTTGCCCGGCATTTTTGGCTGCTCTCCGGTTTACATGGGTGATCTGACTCATTGGGACCTGTGTTGCGCGCTGCCGGTTGATATATCTTCAAGGCCGTGTTCTTTTCCCGAGGAATAGCTTCCACGGAGAATTCTTCTTCATCCAGATCTCATTGCTCTTCGTTTTTGTGATACCCTTGACTCGCCATCTTTTGCTTCCAGTGACCCCGCCAGTCCAAGTCGCCAAAAACACCCCACCATCGTTCCGGTTCCTCGATTTTTCACCTCTTCACCTTCTCTCCCCAAGCACCGCAGACTCTACCGACAAGATGCCTGGCGTTGACGCAGAGATTATCGCTGATGACACCAGAAGTGAGTACCAATAGCTGTCGACAATGTCCTGAAGCTGCGAGGAAATCCGGACAGCGGTGGCGGACCGGTGCTTTGAAGCCTTTGACACATGCGATTCCGATCCTTGCGCCGATGGGCATTTTGCGCCGTTGCGAATTGCTCGCTCGGCCACGCCATTCTCTGCCAGGAGAAGCATTGAGCCTCGACTCGATCACGGGCTAACAGCAATCTAATAGTCCTGGGCCAGGATCCTTTGATCCCCCCGGCTCTGCTCATCTCTGAGATCCCCATGACGCCCAATGCCCTCCAGACCGTCGTCAAGGGCCGGAGAGACGCTGCCCAGATCATCATGGGCCAGAACGACAGGCTATTAGTCGTCGTCGGCCCCTGCTCCATCCACGACCCCGAGGCCGCCCACGAGTACGCCGCCCGCCTCAAGCAGCTCTCCGAGAAGCTCGCCGACGACCTCTGCATCGTGATGCGCGCCTACCTGGAGAAGCCTCGCACGACCGTGGGCTGGAAAGGCCTGATCAACGACCCCGATATCGACTCGTCCTTCCAGATCAACAAGGGCCTGCGCGTCTCCCGCCGGCTCTTCGTCGACCTGACCTCCAACGGCATGCCCATTGCCACGGAGATGCTCGACACCATCTCCCCCCAGTTCCTCGCCGACTGCATCTCCGTCGGCGCCATTGGCGCGCGAACGACCGAGTCTCAGCTTCACCGCGAGCTGGCTTCCGGCCTGTCCTTCCCCGTGGGCTTCAAGAACGGAACCGACGGCAGCCTCGGTGTCGCTATCGACGCCATTGGCGCTGCCGCGGCCAAGCACCACTTCATGGGTGTGACGAAACAGGGCCTGGCTGCCATTACCCGCACCAAGGGCAACGAGCACGGCTTCGTGATCCTGAGAGGCGGAAGCAAGGGCCCCAACTTTGACAAGGAGAGTGTCCAGGCGGCCAAGAAGATGCTGACAGACAAGGGCCAGAAGCTGGCCATTATGATTGACTGCTCTCACGGTAAGGCTTTATTTTTTTTTCTCATGTCGCAAATGTGGATTGGTCCTAACAAAACGTTAGGCAACTCTCAGAAGAACCACAACAACCAGCCCAAGGTTGCAAAGGCCATTGCCGACCAGCTGCGCGAGGGCGAGCGAGCCATTGTTGGCGTCATGATCGAGTCCAACATCAACGAGGGCAACCAAAAGGTTCCTGCAGAGGGCCCGGCCGGTCTGAAGCGCGGCGTCAGCATTACCGACGCATGCATCAACTGGGAGGACACAGTCACGGTGCTCGAGGACCTTGCCGCCGCCGTCCGCACTCGACGCGAGATCAACTCTGGTGCCCCTAGCGCAGAGCCCAAGGTGAGCACTCTGGAGGAGGACTGAATGTAGAGTCTGTCTGAAGATGGCGCATGCGTGTACGATGATAGAGGAAGAAAAAAAAGAGGCAGAGGGTTGGTTTGTTGATTTGGATGTTACAATCCGCGAGTTTGCGCGCGAAGATACTGGCTTCCTCCCTGGCCAGCGTAAATAAGAAAAAGTTTCAGGGAGAGCATTCAACAATGAATGTCGAGAATTGGCGCATTTGAAGGAACATAAAAAGAGGCCATACGTCGTCGTCGGCTGTGCGAGTTGCCGTGTGCCTCGTCGCAGATGGCATACGACGACCATTTCTGAATATGACATTGATTTCCTACCTACCTAGCAACATGCAAAGATCCAAGGCCCATGTATCAAGTGCCAACCCCCCAGAGCTACCAAATGTGTCCCCAAAACGCCGCGCAACGCAAAGCCAAGAAAACCATTTCGCATCGAAAACATGACAAATGCTATCGACTGCCGCCCACAGCAGCGTAACTGGCGCCCAGCCGCCCCAGGTTCCGCGCCTCCCTCCACTCCAGCACCCTCTTGAAGGCGGCCCAGCCCAGCAGGCCCAGGGTGCCGAAGATGAAGCCCCAGACGATGATCTTGTCCTTGTTGCTGTCGCGCTGGAAGCACATGGTGACGACGTCGTCCTCCTCGGCGTTTTCGCAGAAGCTGATGCCCTGGCTCAGGCAGAAGGCCTTTGTGCAGTCCGCGCACGAGGTCGACGCCGTCCTGCGGGCATGGTCGAGCGAGGGGGAGGAGGGAGGAGGCTCTTGGTGGAAGAGGGATCGCTGGTCGGATTGGTGTTGGGGGCCGAGGGGGATGATGGTGCTGTTCTTGAAGCATGTGCATTTGCAGAATCTAGGGGCGGCTGCCGATTTTTCGTGAGGAGTCAGCTTTCGGATCGGGAATCTGCGTGGCCATTGTGAAATATTGGAACTGCTTCTTGCGTGAAGCTTACAAGAGGCGGAGGCTAGCGCTATGAGCGCAGCGAGGAGGAGCACCAGCAGATGGATTCGAGCCATGGCGGGTTGTGCCTATGGCGCCGGATAGTAATGGGAGGATGTTCCGTTGTTGCCGCAAAAGTAGAGCTGCCTCCTATCTTTCACTGCATCTTGGTCGCAGATTACAGTGCAGATCCAAGGTTGAAGGATGGATTTGAATCCCTTGCGCTGCCGAAGCTGGCGACAAGGCTGGCCGCAAATGTGGGGCTTCTCGATGCCAATCCTGCGCTCTGGTTGGTCCTGTCGTCACAGCCCCATATCTGGAAAAGTTGCAAGTTTGAGTCTGAACGTGAGCAATCTCAAAATCCCATCCAACAAACCCTGGTGAAACTCTTTCACCTCTCACACACACACAACACCGCCAATGGCCCGAATAACAAGGATGCGGAGACTCCAGTCTCTGCCACTGGCCCTCCCGTCACAATGCGCCGCCGCATCCAGACCGTCCTTCGCCGCCGCCGCCGCCGCCCGCGCCATCTCGACGACCAGCCCCGCGCAGAGCAAGAACACGGACTGGATCCGGGGCAAGCTGTGGAAGGGCGAGGCCCCCGGGCCGGCCGACCCCTACACGCAGCGGATGGAGCCTGAGGCGGAGTCGAACCTGCCGGAGGAGGCGCTCGAGATCGGCGGCAGCAGGCCGCGCCGCGACAAGACGCCGGCCGCCGTGCGGGAGTCGAGGCTGCCGCTGCCGGGACGGAGGACTGAGGCCCCGGCGGAGAAGGAGCTGCAGGCGTCGGATCCGACGTACGTGCCCGCCACGGACGCTGAGGGGCTGGAGGAGATTGGGCCGCTGAGCACGTGGTGGGAGCAGCCGGGCCACTGGGGCGAGGAGAGCGAGTTCAAGGGCTTCGGCAGCGCGGTCAAGGCCGTGGAGAAGGAGGTCGTCGAGGTGCACCTGCGCCGGGCGGTCGTGGAGGCGCTGGCGCTGCAGCAGGCGGGCGTCTTCTCGGAGTGGGCTACGAAGAAGTGGTCCGAGGGGGGGTCGAGGGCGCAGTTGGACCAGGCGCTGGCCGCGCAGGTGGAGGTGCAGGATGGCAAGGCTACGCTGAAGGGAGATGCCTCGGCGATTGCTGAGGCTTTGACGAGCGAGGCCCAAGAGGCTGAGTCTACGACGACGAGCGTTACTGCTGAGGAGGCCAGGGAGATGCTCCGGTCGTGGGACTCTTCGTGGAAGAACATTGCGTTGGACAACCCCCTGCGATTTGCGGTATGTTATTCAACAGTTCAGGCTCGTGTGTGCGAAAAAGCAGTTGCTAATTCTATTTTCCTAAATAAAACAGCTCCGCAAACGCCTCTACCAGCTCACCGGCATCCTCATCCCCGACGCCAAACTCGCCGCCGCCAACACCGCCAAGCACATCCTGACCCTCGCGGCGCGGGACCCCAAGCCGCTGAAGCTGGCGCAGGTCCTCGAGAGGCGCAACGCCTTCGCCGACCTCACCAACGTCAAGGTGCATGACCGCAGGGTCGGCCCCATCGACAAGGAGGTGGCCGTGGGACGGTGGAAGGTGATTGAGGAGGAGCTCAAGAGGCGCGACTTGCCGGTGACGGGCTACGGGGACGCGCCGAGGAACAAGGAGAGGGATTGGCTGACGGGGAAGATTTGATGATGGGTGGTTATGATTTATGGAAGTATATATAAAAGAGGTGTATCAATATACCATGTACAACAGCAATTTCTTAAACATTGAGAAAAATAGAGAGGATCTCATGCATTCTGTCTGAATTGTCCACCATGTAGACACTCTGCATGTGTGTTTTTATGAACCGTACAGGTCGGGTTGATCCGATATCACGACTTGAAATCCAACAACTTGAATATCCATCCACTCTCCGCATTCAACACTCTCACCAATTCCGGCCCTACAAGAGCCGATTTGCCCGTAACAACTCAGTTAGTTGTGCGATTCGCTGCTGCAACAAGTCCCAATATGCTCCAACTAAGAATACCCCAATGAGAATACGCCGAGAATACTCCAAGAAAAGAATACCCCAAGGAAGAAATACTGAATCTTTCACTCAGGGATCTCAAAATAGAAACCCCGATTCCAAGGCTACAAAAAAAAAAAAAAAAAAAAGAGAAAAAAGCCTGGAACCCCCTCCCCCTGCCGTTGATAGAACAAGGGGGGAAAAAGATCCCCTTTTGTGTGATTTCCCTTTTCTCACCACGGGAGATGGGGTTGGACGTGTACAGGTAGCCTTATTGCTCTTGTCTTCAAGTTGTCTTGCCTCCTGAGCCTTGTTATTACTACCTAGGTACTTCTTTGACTGATATCATATATTGAGCCGATTGTAGCCTGCTGTTTCTCCTTCTCTTTGATTTTACCCTCTTTGCCGCTATTTGATGTTACTGGTACTAGGTTTGGCGTTAGGACTGATACGCATCAAAGAGATCTAAGGCATCTGGGCGCGGAGAAGCGCCCAGGAAGCAGCATTTATACTTTCAAGAACATCCGGCTCCAGTTGCATCCGGACAATTCCAGGCTGCCCAAAGTTATATCACTTCTGACCAAATGTCGCTGTTAATCATCAAGTTGAAGCACTTTACAATGCTTGGTAAAGAATCCCTATCACCAAAAGCGTCTCGTAGCATCTATTTGCTTCATAGATGCTGCACATAATACTCCGTGTAAGAGAGAAGAACTCGTACTCCATACGGGCAGGATTCAAGTCGCACCGCATAAAGAGGGTGTGTGAGCGACATCCGAATCGAGTGAATGTTGCGCCTGGTCCTACACACCGGAACCTCACCAGGGCCTGTCCTGGTAGGCTGGAAACCCCCCTGCTTGGGGGGCAGGGGATCGCCCGAGAGGGCCGTTTTGACTGACAGCCGGAACATGCGAGACGCATGAAAGACGCCGCATGAAAAGCTTGGGGAATGGAAATGGCGGCATGTCAACGACACACCTTCTTGTGAGGTGGCATCTAACAATGGGTCCGACGGCACTTGCATCGTCGCTCATGTATATGTACCAAGGTAAGATGCCCAACTTGCGTCCCTTGCTGTGCGAGTATCGGTATCACAGCTCGTAGCAATACCCTCATGCTGTCCGGAGCGCGGCGTGGGACAGGAGCTGCGACGAGGCCGCTCGTATGCCAGAGACACACAACGAGATGGAACACAACAGCCGCCAGCTGTGACAAGTCTCGGCATGTCAAAGGCCACGTGGTAATAGTCGCGCCGTCGACGGACCAGAGAAGCCGTCGCAACTTAATCAGGGTCAGCTTTTTCTGTACTATGTGGTTGCGGTCTGACAGGCATTGGCATCTATGTATTTCCCTCGATGGGCTGACGACGGGAGCCATGACGGAAGGATCAGACTGCCGAGGAGAAGCATGTAAGACGCGGGTAGGCCCGTTTTCAATCAATATCCCCTGCAACATTCGTCGATACTGCATGTCGCTCGCTGGTTTCATGCTCTTGATAGAACGAATGCCAGATAGAGTAAGAAGCAGCGCCCTGTGGCGATTAAGTCCATTCTGTGATATGACTGCCAGGTGCGTGCATGAAAGGGGCGCTCCATGATGACGCCGGCTGATGCCTCATCTGAACGACGACGGGTGCGTACTCGTATGTGCCCGTCCCAAAGGATAGGTACTGTAAGAACTTCATGCACCCAACAAGCACTTGAAGGATGCTGGCGCAGCGTCTCCAACGACAACCGCGCTCTGGCGATGTCGGGACGTTCCATCTGATGCTGGCGAACGCCCACAATCTGACCATCACCCGGGCGGCCCCAGACGGCGGTAAAGACGTGAGGCAAGGCTAAACAGGCCACGGCGATCAGGGCAAGGCATGGGGGGGCATTAGATCCAAACATGTCTCCAGGATTTTCTCCCGACTCCCGTCCAGTAGATTCTCCCTAATAAGGCACGGAGTACGGAGCAGGGTTTGGTCAGAAACCCAGTTGCCGTACTATCATGCGCAATGCTCGCCCCAAAAGATGTGCGTCCAGCTTCGTGATGCGGACTCTCCCTGGCTTTGCTGCATGCACTTCGTACACCGCTATCTGTATACGCGTGTATTCGGCGTTGTCGAACGCGGGTGAGGCAGATTAGTAGTGATGGTAGCGAGACGAGGCGGAGAGTCGTTTGCGCATACTAGTCGACTCGGCTCGCCCGAAGGTCATCTGCTGGACGAGGATCTCTTTAGCCAAAGGGGACCGCCGGGAACGCCAACGATTCCATGTAGGCAGCGCGACGCCAAGGGCCCTTGGGGAATCTGCCGTGATCTGCCACTGCTGGCATGGGACGGACATGAATCCATTCAACCAGCGTGCGATCTTGTCCAGTGCCTGTGCCTGTACGGGGTTTCGCTCGTCCTGGGAGTCTCGCGGATGGCTCCGTGCCAGGTCGTGACATCCTCGTCGTCCCGGAATCGCTTTCCCCATATACTTGTACGAGTGCTTGCAACGGACCAGTTGTCCGTTCTGGGAGCATCACCACAGCTCGGCCCAACGTTCTGCGGCGGCTCCGTTCCCCGGCGGCGCGGGCGTCGTTGGTCTGGTCTGGTGTTGGTTGTTGGCCGAGCCTCGAGACGCCCGTCTTTCGACCGACGCTCGAATCTTCAGCGTGTCGCGGGACCTCGAAATCGTCGGGTTCCGCAACCAGGCCGTCTAGCCTCCGGAGCGGGGCGGGAAAGCGAGAATATAGTGGCCTGCGCCCCTGTAACAGCCGGGCTGGAAACGCAGACCAGGCCTCTCCTACCTGTCTCTACCTGTATGTGGAACGAGGTTCCTACTCCAATAGTGTACGATGTCGACTCCAACAGCGTACTGCGGGAGCGCATCAACCTCGAGTTGGCGGGCATCCTCAACTGCTGTTGGTCATTTTTGGCGTTCAGCAGATGGTGGCGTTGCCCTTTTATCCAGCCAGTCACGGCGGCAGCTGGATGAAGCCTGCATCTGCATGCCTCGCTAGCCCTACCAGGAGCAGGTGAGCATGCACCACGGCTGCAGGAGTTGGCCCCAAGCGAGATGGCTCGATGGCAACGAAATACTTGTACTTCCAACGTGAACTTGCCTCGACGGCAGCAGACGAAGCAAGCTTGATGGTCATGATGCTCGGCAGTCAGTTGAGCCGCCTTGGAGCTGAGCTTGTCTGTTACGAACGCATACGTGGCAAATCAAAGTCAGCATCGACACGCAGTCAGTCTTTTGGGATCTAATATCGTCAGCTGCGTCAAGCATCGACAAGCGAAGCCTGGGCCACCTTGATCGTATCCTGTTTTGAGGCTGCCGTGCTGGCATCTCCTTTCATGGAACCCCGACCGGCTGTTCCATCCGGGACATGGCATTGATGTCTTTCGTCCAGACATACATGTACACGCGTCTGTGGTTATACTGCTAATCACACAGGTAGCAGACATATCTCCCAATGGAGAGCGTCTCGTCTGAATTGTGATACTGTTCTGATACTCGTAACAGTTGCCGATGCAATACGACTCCGAGTCCACGACTGCACTGCCACATACCCCATCAGGTACATGTATGTAGCATGTACTCGTACGCGCCTGCAAACAACATGTAGCCGTATGCTTGCGATGCAAACAAGCAGCACCGTCCCTGAGTCTACATGGTTGTCATGTATGTGTCTCGTACCTGTATCGTGTATGTATGCAAGAGAGCGTACAGAGGCAGGCAAGCTGGGGCTTGTCGTCCTGTGTGGCCGCTTCTGCTGATGGACGCAGGGCCTCAGCGATGCCATCTCAATGCATATTCGTGCCATCAGGTACGGAGCAGCTCTCGTCAATCCCACCTCCCGCCAGCCCAGCGGACGATCTCGGACTTGTTGTACATGCCTGCTGCATTTATAGCCGATACCACCTGTTAGTAGGTAGGTACCAAGGCAGGTAGGCAGCCAGGCAAAGTGCATGTAAGGTAGTTTGGCAGAATGCCGGTAGAGATGGACATTGGAGGCTCCCCGTGCTGCTCTCGAGTCTGTGCCTAAGGTAGTCCCAGATTCGCACCTGAGTAACGCTTGATGGATTGCAACACCTCCGTCGCCCACACATCTTCTCGGCGGCCACTGGCGGCTTCCCTCTTCTCTTCCACTGCTGCTACTCCAAGGTTGACAACTATCGTGTTGGTTCAAACATCGTCCATCGTCTCCTGGGCGCAAAAAGCGGTTAACACACATGACTCGGCGGTCCTGACATACATCCGCTTTGGCGACCCTTGGAAGAAGTGGACACTACCGGGGTGACGGGCACTGCACTCAATTGTACTGGAGTCCGCATCGCCGAGGAGAACCTTGGAAGGGAACTTCTCTGCGCTCAGCTCTCTGCTCTCGTTCCCCCTCCTGCCAATCGCCCCCAGTCTGTGGTTTCTGTCGTCTCTGTCTCGTGCGATAGGCCACCCATTCCTGCCTAGCCCACGCCGAGTCCCCCAGCTGTTCCTGTCATCTACATGTACCTTATGCTGCGCGCCGGCATCCCGAGAACTGCGCTGAGAGGAGAGACTGGAGGCTGGGCGTCGCAATAGCCTTCCCAGCAAGCCGGCCCGCTCCGTTTCAGGGATTTGGATAGTGAAGGTGCTATTGATAGCCTCTCGGGCAGCCTGTCACGCTGAGACGGCATTGAGACTGCTGGGCATTGAGAGCTTGCAGGAATCCGGTTCACGGCGACGCTTCCTCGGCAACACAAACGGGGCAAGGACAGACCTGGAGTTGCGTCCAGACCTTGCCGAGTGAGGATAGAGCAAGAGCACACGCATGCCAGTTGCGGGAGGGAAGCCATCACATAAGCTGAAAGCCACATCCCAAAAGCTTGAAGCCAGCAACCAGATCCGCAAGCAAAAACAAACGCCAGAGCCCAAGCCAAAGCCAAAGAGAAACGCCACGCTCCATCTCCATCGACTCGCATTGCCCCATTCAATCTGCCTACCCATACTATTGCGCACCAGCAGCTTGTCGCCTTTCCCTCTGCAGCTTAACTTGAGAACTACTGCTGCAGCCAGCGATCGGCCCTCCCACCTCTTCAGCAACTGGGCCAGGCCGCTCTTCTGCCGCAGCTGACGGAAACCTGGACCTTTCATCATTAACAAAAGGGAGAAAAGCGAGAGAAACGACAAGCTCTTGCGCTGCAATACAGACCGACGCTTCAACTCGTGACAGCAGCCGCTGAGGCTTCGAGTCACCCTGCCCGAGGGCTGTCCCAGGCCTTGTATTCGGACGCCATACCATGGGCGACAACCCACGGCCTTCATTAGCTATCATGACAGAGCCGTCTGGAATGATTCCCCCCGATGAGGTGTGTACGACGAGACAGGGCTGTCTGTGCAATGGCCACTGTCCTTCTCGGCGATGATAGGCCACCCAAGCCAAGAGTTACTAACACATGCGCCTGACATAGGCTGCGGTGTCACCGCCGGACGACGTGGACGAGGTAAGTAGCTTGGCGCGGAGCTGAATGTCGGCTGAACACCTTCTGACCCGGCCAGGGTAACGACATCGGAAGCTTCCAGTCTTCGTTGACTTCCGTCACCTCATCCATACTTCATGGCGTCGTGGGCGAAGGCCAGCGAGTCTACGCCGCATATGGGAAAGAAGGTACCGTTGAATTTCCCCCCCTTGAAGCGCAGATGCAATCGCGGTCCCTGGTTGCAGGCTTGTGTGCTAACCCGACATTGTTCTCTCAAGAGTACGGGCTCCCTATGGACGATCAGGAACTTGATCGCATGGACTTGTGTCACACCAAATACTACTCCCTTCTTAAGCAGAGACGCTTCCTATCACCAATCAGCGAAAACCCACAGAGGATTCTGGACCTGGGATGCGGCACAGGTAGCTTGACCCCAAGCCAAAGTGCACCATCGTGGCGCTGACGCTGACTCTTTGAAGGCATATGGTGTGTTGAAGTCGCCGACGACTATCCCGGAGCACAGGTACGGCGTTCTTGTTTCCAGATAGGTGCGGAAATGCCCTGGACTGACAATGCTTCGTCTACTCAGGTCGTTGGTGTGGACATAGCCCCTACCCAGCCACAATGGTATGTTCGAGACACGAGCCAACTATACGCCGATGGCGCTGATGAATCTATCAAGGGTACCGCCCAACTGTCAGTTCGAGCTTGACGACATCGAACAGACCTGGACATGGAAGGCAGACAGCGCCGACTTCATCTTCTCTCGTGACCTGATCCTGTCGATACGGAACTTTCCCAAATTGATTGACCAAGCATACAGGTATGGCTCGTTCGGCGTATCTCCATATCGACAACTTCCCTCTCCATGAGCTAACGGCATCTGCTTGATAGACATTTAAAGCCTGGCGGTTGGATCGAGTTCCAATGTCATACCGGGCTACTACAGTGTGACGATGGCACGCTGCCTGACGACAGCACATTTCGACATTGGGCGAATCTCACAAAGACGGCATGCGAAAGATACGGCACTCCAGTAGATGACCCGACCCGGTTCAAGGCGTGGTTTGAGCAACGAGGATTCGAGTGCGTTACGGAGGAGGTGTACAAGATGCCCTGCACCCCCTGGGCTAAGGATAAGCGCCTGAAACTTATTGGGGCCTGGGAGCAGCACAATCTGATGAACCACCTGGAGGGCTTGACGATGCGTCTCTTTCAAAAGAGCCTGGGCTGGTCAGAAGAGGAGATTCTGGTCATCTCGGCTTTGCTACGCAAGGAACTACGCGATCTGGGTGTCCACGCCTACTGGCCTTAGTAAGTTGCACCTGCTGATGAGGCTCTCCAAATGCGCGCAATCAATTTAGGCTCAAGGAGGACCATTGCTAACCGCCAGCAGCTACGTTGTCTATGGCCGTAAGCCCATGAGGCCATGAGGCCAATCGCTGATGCAGAGGGCTTTTCCTTTTTCTGCCTGCCTTTTTGGCGACTTTTACCGGCGACCAGGGTGTCATGCAGCCATTACGAAGGATGCGTGGACCAACCAATCAACTCTTATGGAAATGCTTCGTTATTGGCGTTGAAGAAAAAAAAAAAAGCAAAGAAGAGAAAAAAGAAAGGAAAATTAAGGTGTTTGGGGGCTCGACTAGTGGCACCGAGAAGCGACGACATAGCAGACAACATGCTACACCAAGCATGCATACCAAGCATCGATATCCTGTGCTTCAACGAACGTCAGATCGGCTGGTCACATGGCCGCACAGACACGAGATACTCCTCACCAATCGCCCTCACCGCTGCTCCGGCTGCCCCATAAAAGCCGTCGAGCGACTTGGGGAAGCCAAAGCATCACGACGCTTCTGGACGAAGACGGATCAGCCAGCATAAGCCGCCTGCTGCATCTGCATGGGACCCTGCTGATAGCCTCATACCAATCCCACTCCCCAGAAATGTGCTCACGAGGCTTGAAATGCCTCGCTGCCTGCTTGGCTGCTTGTTTTACTAATCACTTTTTCAACATTTCCATTTCTCGCCGATTTCCTGGTGTGGGCGTTTGTGTTTGTAATCTGGTGATGTGCTTGCTCGAAGTAGTAGCACCACGGTGACTTGGGATACACGAACGGAAGGATTCCCTTGGCGTTTCTCTTGTTTTGTGCTTATTGAGCGTGTTGCATCGGCATGATTAGCTGCGGAAGCAGCAAGGGCGTCGGGATTGGGGAGCATTACGACGTTGATCACACAGCCACGTTGAAGTCTCGATGGCTGTCCTTTTTTCGAGCAGCGGTGTCTCCTGTAACCGCTCCAGCGGCGGCTCCGCAAGGCAGCAGGCCTGCTCATGTCGCCCTTTCGGTAGAGCGAGCGGCCGCTACTTCAGTGAAAGGTCGTCGACAGCCTGTAGAAGGCGCTTTTCTGACCGAGAGGGCACGGGCAGTGTACCCTGAAATACCGCTTTAACCAGAAACGCCGCAGGTTCCTCTACTCTTGGTACAAACTGAAGAAACTTTTCCTCCCAATACCACGCCTATAACGTCGCGACTCCTGCGTCATAGGCGTCGACTTTCTAGACTCCTGCACCAATCTCTGGTCAGGCATGTACTTCTTCATTACCCTATACAACCTCAGTTTTTAAATTACACTTGACCGTTACGTGAATCGACGTCGCTACATATGATGGCTATGCACATGTTTCTCTTTTATTCCCCATCAACACCCTTAGGTCGTAATATAAGAACAAAATATATACACGCACACATGTTGTACTTACTTCACTACAGTTCCATATGGGAACGTCGAATGTACTTGGCGGTGTTCTCATCCATACTCACAAAGTACCGGCTCAACTTGCGTTGTCCGAGCCGGTTGTTACTGAACGCAGTCGTCGTCTGTAACACATAGAATACACGGGTCACTCCCGATCCCATTGTGTGTCCAAGTTGACCTTTCCGTTTTGGGGTAGGTAATATCCAGATGGTCGGTAGTTATATGTGTACTAGGTATGTTCACGAACGGGTGCCCCGCGGGTAATGCGGGGTCGAACTTTTCGCTTTGGGGGAGATATCTATGGGTTGCGCTCTCCTTTTCTCTGGCGGTAGTCTCGAAGTG